CTGAACTTTAAGATTCTCTTCCTGAGAAACCTCCATCCTGCAGTAAGCCAACATCTCGGAGTACTCGCATGCCCACGAACAATGAGCATCCAACAATTGCGAGATTTGACACAGAAAGCCCACAACAAACAAAAGATGGTGTTAGAGAAGAACACTAAAACTGCAAAAGTTCTTGACTTTAACACCCAGAATCCAGAACTGGCACTAGAGGGTGCCCAACGCCCAAACAGCGTGAGACCACTATCCCCAGCATGGAATGCGTCTTCGTCTAATAGACAACGGAACTCCTACGCTGACACGAGATTCAAACAGAGGAACAGTCACTGGGATGGACCGCGTGGACAACGACGCTCACCTGAACACCACCAGGAAAGAAACCAATGGGGGTCAAACAAAAGCTGGTCACCATCTAAGGGAAGACATCAAAACCCTGGATCATCAAGTCCAAGGAGTCAACGAAGGTACTCCAAAAACTTCCACCCTGACAACGCTCAGACTCAATCCCAGCAAGAGGAAAATGCCCCACCGGGATTTAACCCTCAAGAACTGGTAAAATTGATGATGAAAGAGTTTCTCAAATGCATAGAAGAGGACAGGAAACGGGAAAAGGAAAAAGCAGATTCAGCCTGACTAGTCGCCGAGCGGAGAAGCAACAACCACCTGAACCAACAAACACTTGCAGGTGAAAGCCCTCAGGCTCCCAAAAGTGCCGTTCGGGTCGTCTGCCACTTCTCCGACAAACCTCAGTTCAGTCCTGAAACCCTTCCTGACCCATGCCAAACTCCGCTACCTCCGTTACTGGATGAACATTTGACTGCTCCATCATCATTGAACAACAAATGGGGGAGGACCACAACTTGACACAGATCAACTGTTCTACCCTCTACATACTAACATAACCTTTGACATTCTAGGGAACACCTAGTTAAACACAACACTAATACTTTCTCCTCTACAGCACTGCTAGAACAACCTCTAGTAAGAGAGGAGCCACTCCACGTACGCAACACTGTTATTGCTGGTTTTTAACCTACCTTGTTTTGTTGCATCACTGTGCCTATTCATTTCCTTCTTTCTCTCTCTCCCTAACTAATTTGCAGTTCCAGTCCCCTCTACAGGGAACTCCTGCAAATTCATGCACAGGGCCGAAAAAGTAGGATTGACTCCTTCTCCCAAATTAGTGTCAATTGCTGCAGAATTATTGCTCATTTAAGTTGAAGCTAGCGCCACTACATACTCGCAATGAAGTAAACTAGCTAAATAACTAAATTTGAATTATTTCAGGCAATGTTACACTACACCTTGTGTTCTTAACCCGAACAATTTAAGCTAAAACCTGCACCAGAACTCAGTCTATGGAATGGAAATGTGGTTTGTGTCTTGTGTGTCTGTTCTCTCTCTACCTATGCCTCTTGTTCCAGTGTCTGCCGATGTTCATGCCAGGAACATCACCATCCAAATGGGGGATGTGGGGAGTCAACGGATCGTTCCAGAACCGAACAAGCCACAGACCATGTTATCCTTAAAAGATTGGTTGGTGCCTACGAGTCTGAGATTGATTTCATTTTCAAAGCAATCCACAGGCACCCAGCAAAAGGCAAATCCACAGGATACCTAGCCAGTCAACATCACAGTTGCGTGCTAATTAACTTTACACCCTAAAACAATAAGAGGCTCTACAATCAAAAACCCACCAAACCGGTTTTTGAGAAGTACCTTTTGGTTCGCTTGTCCTTTGGCGTCTGCAAGGAATACACATTCTTAGGCAGACACAGAAGCGATCAGAAACGCTTCCAAAGTTTAATGGACATACAGTAAAACTGTGTTTATTTGAGTAATGTATGTTTGCTTTATGTTTCTGTAGGTTTTTGTGTGTACATGTTCCATGTGTTTAACAAAACTGTTATAGATAGTTCTTGAGTAATAGCCCTCAGTGACAAATGAAATCTACAGAATGTTTGTGAAATACTTCATGTTTGGTATCGATTGAATGCTAAGAACGTAGCAAATGCTAGAAGTTGAATCCACTCAGTCATAACTCTCCTCAAACTGCTTGTGCGTGTGTATGTATGTGCATTTGTTTGTTTTACGTAGATTAGTACTTTGTGTTATAAAGTAGCAATAAACTTTTGTTTCGTTTTAAGATCCGTGTTGGTGTGTTGTGTGCTTTATAAGTTAATGCCTCAGCTTCAGATATTGCTACTTTGCTCATTAAATAATTAGATACTGTTTTTATATTGTTATTGTTGGCCACGTAATAATATAATACAGAATTGCTTTACACTAAACGTTCTATTTGCTGGACAAATACTTAAGTTAAGTGTAAGCTTTAAATAATTCTATGTGAATCATGTTCGAATCTTTGATTCGAATCCCCAAAGTTTAACATGATTTAAACCAAAGAGCTGATTCTTACAATATATTGTATGACATAGTACGCAAAAATGCTTCACAAAGTATTAAGAAATCTGTCAAAACTGAACAATGAAACAATTGCAAAGAATACCAAGATTAAATGAAAAATCTGCCTTGCCAATACAAATATATCATTCTGATTATACACAAAAATAATAACCATGACCAATCATCTTGTGTGTGGCCTTGATCGTTAGAGAGAAGTGAGAATGTCAAGTTCACTTATTTCAGACACACTGCCAAAAACACAGACTGTAAATAGGAACGGTTTCCCCTGTAGAAGACAGCCAGCAGACGATTAGACGATAGCTTTGTTTAGCATCAGATTGAAATAGACACTTAGACAAGTAATTATATACGTGTATAGCGCGTATTTAATCCTGCACAGTGTGATTGAGCTGAAGTGAGACTCTGCTAAGCGAGTGTACAGTATGAATATATTCCAAATCAAACTTTTGAATTTATTTTAAAACCCTTTAAATCTTTAACTTTATTCAAATGGCTGGGCTGAAAACAATGATAGGATTTCAACTGTTATCCGCAGACAGTGTTGTTCTGTTGGCTTCATTGAACATGGATCTTCAGCATGCACTGGAGTGGTTTGCTGCCAAGTGTGATGCAACTGGGATGAGAATCAGCACCTCAAAGTCCGAGGGCATGGTGCTCCACCGGAAAATGGTGGTTTGCCATCTCCAGGTTGGAGGAAAGTCTTTACCCTAGATGAAGGAGTTCAAGTATCTTGGGGTTTTGCTCACGAGAGAGGGAAAAATTAAACGTGAGATTAACAGGCGGATTGGTGCAGCGTCAGCAGTAATGTGGTCGATGTACAGGTCCGATGTAGTAAAGAGGGAGCTGAGCCCAAAGACAAAGCTCTCAATTTACCGCTCAATTTACGTTCTCACTCTCACCTATGGTCAGGACCGAATAGACAAGCTCTCAGATACAAGCGGTCGAAATGACTTTCCTTCACAGGGTGGCAGGGCACACCCTTATAAATAGGGTGAGAAGCTCTGTCACCCAGGAGGAGTTCGGAGTAGAGCCACTGCTGCTCCACATCGAGAGAAGTCAGGTAAGGTGGCTCGGGCATCGGTTTCAGATGCCTCCAGGACACCTACCTAGGGAGGTGTTTCAGGCATGTCCGACCTAAAGGAGTCCTCGGGGAAGACCCCGTACATGCTGGAGAGTCTATGTCCCTCGGCTAGCCTGGGAACGCCTTGGGATTCCCCCAGAGGGGAAGTCTGGGGTTCTCTCCTAAGATTGCTGCCCCCGCGACCCAGCCCTAGATAAGTGGATATAAATAACATGACAAATGACATGACATAAACACAGATACTACAAAAACATTTTCGCACATGGTGTGTCCCATCAGGTAAGAAATTCTGTAGCATCATTGTAATTTTCAGACCCATCAAAACACAGACACTAAAATAAGGAGGTATGTCAAACAAGTAGACAAGCACTCAAGAAGTTAAGACCAAGAGTGGGAGTACTTGGACAAGACATTGATTATTTACTTCTCTTAAATAGGACATTTTAAATAAATCATTTGATCGAATTATTCAAAGATTCACAGGGACTTGATGTCACCAACTGGTTGTTTAAGTCAACACAGGCTCAATGGAAAAACATGAATCAATCTCTTATTCAATATTTAACTAACCCTTGGAGGAAATTTCCTACAAAAATATCTCAAAACACTTGCATAGAGGAAACGGTGGCATTAAATAAGCCAAAACTAGTGTGCGTTTACTCTAATCTGCCAAAAAGGAAACAAAGCGAGACTGACCGCAAACCAACTCAGAAATAACAAACCAAAACCCAGATGTTCACAGCAGCTGCTACTTTTTATTTAGCACAAAAGAAAAAAAAATTAATACACGTTGACATCTTTCACTCCATCATAAAATCCTAAAGACCCGTTTTCAGTTGCGTTCATTGTATTTTCCACAACCTGTCTTTCTTCAAATTACCCACACTACGTTCAAGAAAACCACAACTTTCAATATTCAATAGGCACTGCCGATATCTCTTAAAATTGTACTGCTTTGATAAATCCATCCGCTTTCAATTCCTTTGATAAATAAAAGGTTAGAGCATATGTTTTCAACATGATCAGTATGTTCTATAGATCCTTCAGAGGCGTACAACTTTATTAGCAGGCGAAATCGATCATCCACGACACAAATCCCCACATTTCAATCCCCCTTCCCACCCCAATGAAATCTGCTTCCTCAAAAAAAAAAAAAAAAAAACACCATCCTTATTGCTAATTTATGGTGATCCCCCTCAATCTGCCAGTGGCTTCCAAAACACTGTGAATATTTCTCACTTCATCCTCATGTACACCAAAGCTTCTCTGTTGGCAAATGCATGAATGGGGATCACAGGCAGTTAGAGAGACAAATAAGCAATAAACTGATTAGAGAGGACAGATTAAAAGCAAAGCAGAACCAAAAAATCTCATTCGCCAAGTACCGCACCATCAGTTGGTCAACGTTTTCAAAAGAGAGACGCTTTTCTTTGATGGCAACAAACAGTTTAAGGAGAAAATGCGCACAGGAAAATCAGTGACAGCAGCCCTTGTCATGTCCACTTGGGATTTTTATTATCTCATTGGCTGTTTTACGTGTCTTTGATTGTTGCATGTTGTTTTTTCGAAAACACTGAGGAAATGTTTTTGCAAAAAGCACCTCCCATTGGATAGAGAGGGGGGAAAAAATCACGTTCATTGTTACATATGAGCATGTGTTTGTTTGTGTGCATCGTTTGTTGTTAACAATCATAACCGATTAAGGTTCCTCATCTCTGGTGATGGTAAATACAATGGCTTAAGGTCCATGCGCAGAGAGAGAAGAGAGAGAAAGTAAAAGAATGAGGGAGAGAGAGGGGGAAAAAAAAGAGAAGGAGAAGAGCACATCTTCTCTTTCTGGCAGCAGTAGTGCAGGTCCAAACAGGTCAGAGTTCAAACTTAAAAAATGGGCGGTGATTTCTATTCTCCTTCCTGAAGCAGGAAGTCCATCGGTAGCATCTGTCAGGCGGTCAGTGCGTGATGTCATAGATCAGCCTCGCTGTCATACGAGACGGAGCTTGTGGACGGTGGAACGGATCACTGCAGAACCAATCCCACCTTTAAAAAATTTTAAAAAGAGGATTATAATAATATAATTCATACATTGTTTTTAAGAGCCTCTTAATATGTAATAAAAAAGATCTAATAGTTATAAAATAAGCCGCATATAAAAAAAAAAACTAGATATATTTGAAGTTTTCTTCAGTTTAAGCTGATTGATCTCTTAAATGGCATGCATATGACATATTCTATGCCTTTTTGTAGTGTAGTGTAATGCATTCACATTGAAATGTTCTTTTTAATCTACAAATAATAAGTGTGCCTTATTAAACCATAAAAAATAGGTGAAGAATGTTCACGCACTCAACGCTCACAGCTTTGCTCAAGTAGAGGAAGGGGCGGAGCTATACTCAAAACAAAATGATGTTTGCTGTTTAATTGAACTTATTTAAATAGAGCTAAAATAACACACAAGAACAACTTAATTGTTTTATGTTTAATCCACATGCATTTGGGTAAGAAAGTAGACAAAATTAGCATTTATGCCTCGACCAATTACATTTTTAAATTCCTCCTTTCTCAGTAGCAGTTGATGGCCAGTAGACTGGATATTTAGAGTAGGGGTACCCCCTATGTTTTTAAGTGATTCCTTTATATAAATGGCAAATGTAAAATGTCAGATGCCTCTGTAATTGTATGCTTCAAATGAATTTTCCTTTCTGGGACAAATAACTAACTAACTAACTACCTAGCTAACTAACTAACTAACTAATTTGTATAAAACTAGTAAGTTAGCTTAATTCATTTATGTTGTCTCAACACAAATTGATTGTGTGGAACCCAGCATTTTTAACAGTGTATTTGGGGCTGAGGTTGAATTATTTTATTTTGGATTGTGCAATTACAATTGTCCAGCATGATTGATTATGCTGACTACCGATTATGAATGCAATTGTACTCATGACAGGTACTGTTTGGTAGACTGATCATTTATTTGACTAATTTGGAATATATTCTATTGGTTATATTATATTTAAAATGTTTTAAAAAATGTCTTGCTGAGAAATGGGTAAAAATCTAGTGTTTAAAAGCAGGGGTTCCCAAACTTTTCACCCTGTGACCCCCAAAATAACAATGCCAGTAACTCGCAGCTGCCAATATCCTCTGAAGTGGTAATAAATATACAAACTTTGCAAATGCAAAACACCTTACACATACAACTAGGCAGAAGTTTTATGTAAGTGCCGTAAAGGTGTCAGAAAGTTTACCCTGGTGCCATTAAATCAATCTGCTGCATCTGACTCTATTGCTGTGTCTTTAATCCAACATAATGAGAGCCCAGGGGTCACAGTCTAATAGAAAAAAAAAGTAGCATATTGACAAAATATGCTTATTATAATAGTTTCATAAAATCAATTGGATTTTATGCCCCCTTCATTATCCCCTGACCCAGACTTTGGGAACTACTGTTTTAAAGGATTTGGGAAAGTACAGTACAAGAATTTAAAATCACTTTATTTTGATGGTCCATTTGAGTACGAGTAGACAGTTTGGTTAATATCTGTTGATACTGCTCCTGCAACAGACATTTAACTGACTATAGGAAACTTTGCAAGTACATGTCAACTTACACTAACCCTAAGCCCAACCCTAACCTAACGGTCTACTTATATCTAATGAGAATTTAGTTGGCATGTAACTTAAATTCAACAAACGGACCATCAAAATAAAGTGTGACCCAATTAATTAGTATTCTGTGTCCTTGAGTCATTTAAAATGCCATTAAAAGCATTTTTCCTGATGAGACTTGGAATATATACTATTATTGTAGTGAACAACATTTTACTGGCTGCATTTCTAGATAAATAGATACTGTGGCGACCTAGTGTTTGAGTTTAGCTCCGTTAATGCAGATTTCATGTACAAGCCAACAAATCCTACCTAATTTTCATTCTGACAGACTAAAAAAACATAATTGTATTTGTACCTTTTCTGAACCCATGCTGGGACATTTCCAATTGTAGAGGTAATACTGCAGGTTTCCATCTCCAATGCCGAACTTGAGCTTCTCCAAAAATGTCTTGTTCTCCATTAAGTCCAGTGCATTAAAGACATCAAAACCTTTCTGCAAGAGAAAAGACAAAAAAAAAAAAATGTCATAAACTATGCAGACAGTTTACTGCTCCAGAAGAACCTGCCCGTAACACATTTCAAATTACTACAGATGTTGGAAAATGTTAGACTTTAAAAACCACATCTCAAATCAGTACCAGAGCTATAGCTAAGTAAATGCATAAAAATGATTGTGTAAATAACGACAAATCTGAGTACTTATTAATTGTGCCAGAGCATGAAAATTATTTGCAGTTATAGCCAACAATATAGTCAATATGGGTTAAATGATTTAAATTAATAACTTAAAAGGTTAAAAAGATATTGTAAAAAAAAAAAAAAATATATATATATATATATATATGACCGTTCGCATATGTCTTTAATATCAGGTCAGGGTGCACATTTACTACAGGTAATGCAACACTTGTTGAATTGCTGATTCTAAAGGCAGTATGTCATACTTAACTAGACATAAAAGAGAGGAAAGTCTGTCTGTTGCACTAATGTGTTTTTGGAATGTGTTTGTATAATTACTGTTGAATCACTGAAGCCCCGTAGAATGCTTTGACAATGTTTTTTACCATTGCTGTAGATCCAAATTATCTTCATTTGAGTTATGAAGATTAAAAAAGGTGTCAAAGAATTGAGTAATAAATATCTTTTAATTATTTTAGATATTTTAACTTTAAATATCTTCATGAATAAATATCTCCACTTATTTAAAAATGAAAAAAAACATGTGAATTGTTGGACACATCAGGACTTTTCACATTCTGACATAGCAAAATAACCTTAGGAAGTTCATACACTAGATGTATTTGAGACACAACTTGAATCACATTCATCAAGTCTCCTTCATTTTTGTATTGCAATTTGTAACTCAATTTCTTGAAAGATTTATAGACAAATGCAATTTTAAACAGTTATCGCCATCTACTGGTGGAAGAGGTGAAAATGTGTAAAAAAAAAATCCTATGACAATACAAGTGTCAAAAGACTTGTGTTCATACCAAAAATAAAGACTTTTCATCAAATAAAAAAAAGTTTAGGATTAGTTTTGTCTGATTACATCAAATGATGCATCTTTTGCATTTTTTATGGAGAATCTAAAAATAGGTAAATGATTATTTTTGAAATATGATCATTGTGACTCATTTTGCCAGATGAACTCCAACACACACACACGTTCCTATATCCTGGTTGGGACTTTCATAGACGTAATCTACTCTACAGGCTGTATAATATTTCCCCCTACCCTGAAACCCAACTCTCACAGAAAACATTTAGCATTTTGACAATTTCAAAATACTTAATTCTGTGTGATTTATGAGATGTTTTTGCATTAAGGTCCCATTTACACTTATACATTTTAGTTTTAAAACACATTTTGCACATTTTTGTAAAGTTCAGTCTTGCATCCTTTTCTTCTAAGTTCAGACTTTGCAAGATTGATTTGGAAAACAAACTCCTAAGGACACATCGGGTAAATCTTCAAAGAGAACAGTGTACTTTATAACGTCATTCGCATCATCTTGGCATCATCTTAATAAACTGATAACATGATATAAAGAACTGTCAATTTTCATTTTGATATTAGCAACTTAACAGACACCAAAAATGTTAAGGCATCGTGTAGCTAAATATGTATAAGCATCATCTTCACTGTATGAATATTTATAATAAAACGGAGCTTAATGTTTAACAAATACATCACGTTTAACAATTTTAGTGAGATCAGATCTAGCGGTAGGTGGTTGATGAGACGTCCGACGTGCACAGCTCTCACCTGGGGTTTTGTGCTCAAAGCACCTGCTGACTGCCTGTAGCTCAGATGCGCGCATACGTTGAAGAGCATTCCAGAGTGTGTGTGGTCACGTGATGTGCATTTTTAGTGGTGTAGTGTGGACGGAGAGCTGTTCAGAAATGCTAGGTGAATGTCAGTGTGGATTGGACGTGGATTGTTTTTATTCCAAAACGCTGTTTTAAAACTAAAACGTATTTGTGTAAACAGGGCCTCAATTTTGTTCCCCCAGTAGCACAAGTCTAAATGGGTTTGTGTGTGCATTCAGGTTTTACATAAAAAACAAGTACACACACACACACACACACACACACACACACACACACAAACACACACGCACACACACACGCACACACGCACACACGCGCGCACACACACACACACACACACACACGCACAGATATGCACGCATTTAGTGACTGACCGACTTGGCGAGGATAAGAGCGTCTCCCATCAGGTCCACCAGTGGGGTGGTGGTGTGTACATTATAGAAGGAATATGCCGCCTTCAGACTGCGGTGCACAGGATGGTTCATGATGGTGGACGGCAGAGTGTAGAAACTCAGGATATCAGTCACCTTCCCATCTGTAGTCTGCAATGGATGACACAAACAGCCAGATGCTCATGACAAAGACTTTACACAAATGACCACATCATCCACTTTTACCTGCTAACAACACTATAATGTCAATATATGCAGATATATAAGGCAGTGTTGTACCTCCACTACATAGGTGTCAATGATGTTCTCCTGAGGGAGCAGCCAGTGTTGAACCTCCTCAGGGCTCATGACTGGAACCAGGTTGAACTGATTTAGGTATTCCTTCAGCAGGCGGTGAACCAGTGGGATGTCTTTTATGGTCATCGGCCTCAAACCTGCAGTCTTGGGAGCCTAAAGGAAAGAAATGAGCATTAAGGGATTATTAAGGGAAACAGGCTGGCACACACACACCAGGGCTGAACAAGCATCTATATCGCAAAGTGTGTATCTGTAATAGTTGCATCTCAGGATTAGATTATTTATTAAAGATTAAAACAAAGATATTATTAAATACGAGTTTTTGATTATTTATAAATGATGACCATGTTATTATTCATTTGATTGTTCACATTCTGTACCTGAATACTTTTAAGGTCCGTGCACACCGGGAAGCTTTTTCCGTTGACGTTTAACGCCTTGTGACTAAATAAAGGGCACCAATGTGATCATGCACATCAATGCGCAAAATGACAGACGTAAAAGCGTCATTTTTTTAAGAAACTCCTTATGCTCGTTTTTTTCCTTCTCCACTAATCAGATTGGCTCTTTTGATCACGGAGCTGCTGAAGCTACAGTAAACAGCACTTGGAGGCGCTCAAGCACAACACTGTCAATGTGAGCGCATTTTGAAAAAGATGCCCAGAGGCAATATGAACGTGGAGCTGCTTATTGCACTGGTGAACAATAATCCTTTCTTCATCGCTAGAGCTGCTACTTCAACCATCCAGGCTTGTTCGAATCGCCAGTAACTTTAACAACAAGAGTTTCAACTTTCTGACTTCTTCTTCTGTATTACAAGCGAGTTTTAGAGGCTTAAAGTTGTGTAGCGCCATCTGTCATCAAAGAGTGATTCTGCATTCTCTTCTGCTCAATGGCAGTAAAAATCGATCGGGTTTGAATCTGGAAAAATGTCTCGAAAAACGCAGACAATAAACGCAAAGGAAAAGCGTCCCATTGTGTACGAGCATTCAGACACCCAAGAAAACCCCAAAGCACTGTTTATTTTTTATTTTTGATGGTAATTTATTATATTTTATTAAGATGCACGTGCATAGAACACAACTTAATAATCACAGTCAATCTAAATGAATGAAATCTTTCCAAATAGAGCTATTTAAATCATCTGATGAAATGATATTCATATCGCAATATATATCGTGGCAAAAGAAAAACCGCAAAGCAGATTTTTCCAATATTGTGCAGTCCTAACATATACACACACACACATACACACACACACACACACACACACACACACACACACACCCACCCACACACCCACCTCTGGCAGCCGGTAGAGCTTCATGGTGCGTTGCATAGTCATGTTGCGACTAAGGTGAGAAAACTTCACCTCAATCAGCTTTCGTGGGTTCAAAGAACGGTGCCAGTATCTACCAAATAAACACAAACAAACTCATTAGTACAAAAAATGATGTAAAGTTCAAATTTCAATTATGCATTAATATACATTACAACCGCCCAGGGGCATTGCTAGACATAAAGCTCTACTAAGGCACAGCATCCCCCTAAGAAGATCAATAAACAAATAAATAAATATATATATATATATAATTATAAATAAATAGCAGTACTAATGTTATTATACAATTATGATTCTAAATAAATTACTGAAATGAATCCTGAATGTAACCGGAAAACAATCTAAAGACGCAACTGGAGTGATGCTAAGATAATTTAAGAAATCTTTTGCATTAATATTAATTTTATTAGAATGAAATGATATAGACAATTCAATAGAATACAATAAAAGATGTTTTATAGAATTATCTGTTGTGTGTTGTCTTAGACCCAACTTAAGGCCGAGAATTAGGTTTATTAAGTCTGTCCTCTCTGACTTCATCCCTCCTTTCTGCTTCATACCAAAAAATATATCAGGAGCCATGCAGTATGAATAAGATCACAATCATATTATTTTAACTTTATTTTGTCGACTTTCGAATCTCACTGCGTGCTGGTTTCACAAAGCACGAGCGGCACTGCAATTTTTTTTTAGCGTGCATGTTCACAACCGAACCTGGAGTAGAGCAGCACGTCAGCGTCAAGCAGAAGCAGTGTGCGTGAGCCACACGGGTATGTTTTTTTTTTTTTTCTGTGCACATGCTCAGTTTGCTTTTTGATTTAACTACATTGCTTTCATCAGCGTTGGTTTGGTTGCACATAGAGAATGATGTCTTTATTCTGGGATTACCACTCTTAATAAATACACTTGCATATAAAGTAAATCGTATTTCAAAGCATTTACTGGGGCACTGGCGATTTTTACTGGGGCACGTGCCCCAGTAAATGGGGTCTAGCGACACCCCCGCAACAGCATATATTAAAGTTAACAGAAGTACATAAATGGGAGTCATGTGACAATCAGAGTATTTTTGTGGAAACTGTCAAACAAATGTAGAAATTGTCCATGAATATAAAATGTAAAAGAACAGCATTCATTTTGTAATATTTTCTCTTTCCTTTTTAAAGTAAAAAAATCCAAAATTGTAAGCAATAGCATTTATACTACTACAGTAATATGTGCCTAAACCTCAGAAAAATCTCAGATACAAATACTTTAGAGGAAGGAGAAGAGGAAGCTGCATGAATAATTGCTAAAATCTCAATTCCAATCCCTGTGTAATCTTATTCCTAAATGATCCTGATCTGCACCAGTCTATTAAATGAATCTGACAAAAACAATTATCACAAACAAATATGAGTTTGATCTTGTGAAGGCATTTCACATGAAAGGTCATGAAACAGTTTCAGCCTGAAGTAAATCAGACAGCACTGAAGTAATTTTCTGGTTTAAAATGATTTAAAATGATCACCTGGATAGTCTTTTGATAGTCTGAAATAAACAATGATTAATTACATTATGACATAAATAGCTGTCATAAAAACACTCAATAATAATAATAATAGCAATAATAATAATAATGACTATGAACAAATATGTAAATACAAGTAAATATTGATTTCAATCATACATAAAATTAAGGCTTTAAAAATTGATAAGAGATGTACTGTAAGGAAAATTCTCAGCTAAATTTAGAAAATTCTTGTTATGACAGCACAGTAAGGCTATTGAAAGCAGAAGGAACAAAAACTACATAGAAATGTCTATGACTATTTAAGCAGACTATTTAAGCTATTTTGAACTTTGACCATGTTGTGTGCAAGCTAATTGATGATGTGCTCTGCTGGACTAGCACTTTGCTTGCAATAGCAACAAACCATTGAAACCAACGAGTTTCATAGCACATTGATTTTTGCGGTCAGTGTAAAAGCCGCTTCAGAACACACGGTCAAGCAGTGAACACACATGGAGGGAGAGTGAAACAAGAGCAAACAAATACTCATTTATTTTTATTAGTATTTTTTTTTATCATCATCATTAGTATTAGTAGTAGTAGTAGTAGTAGAAAATAGATTGCCAGAACTTACCTATAATAAATGTTACAAACATTATTATTGTATTTACCAGGGTTTCTGCAGGTTTCATCAAGTCAAATTTAAGATTTTTTAAAACTCTTTTAAGACCAAAAAGAATGAAATTTTTTACTTTTGCAGGATTAAAATTCCTTCTAATGGCCTGGTATTATCATGAGAAATTGTGTTATCGTTTTTTTTTACATCCTGATTATGGAATTTAATTTGGAATATTTGCTGTAAAGGAATGTCTAACAGCTGCTGTGATTGGTATCTCTTTGCAATAAAAAACTTAAGTCTAAAAAATAAGGTTTTATTAAGATGTATTGCTGCTGATTGAATGGATGTCGGCCCAATTGAGTATCTTTACTTGGACAAAACAAAATTAAGATCAATTTTAAATTATTTAAGACCTACAACACAATACTTCAGTGACTTTAACGCTTTTTAAGGCCTAAAATTTAGTGTAACATCTAGTGGACACCCTGTATTTTCTCAGCTACTTAGAATTGTGGGTAAGTGGTGTTTTTTTTTCAAGTGGTGCTCGCTGCAGAGCCATTTGAGGAGAGCTGAGCTCCAGCGAGGGGGAGCTTAAGCTTGAGCTCCACCTTTTTTGCACTTCTTCTACGAGTGATGTCACTGGGGGTAGGGTTAGGGGTGGGGTTGGTGTACGCATTAAAACAGCTTACAGGAGGAGGAGCGACAGCTCATGCTCCCACTTGCTGGAGCTCAGCTCTCCTCAAATGGCTCTGCAGCGAGCACCCTCTCTTTTTTTTCATCAAGTTGAAGTCCACATGAACCAGAAGCTGCGACTGTTTTTATTTTATTTTTTCAACATTGTGGCGCAGTTCCCAGAGAAACTGAATATTAAATGAGCAAACTGTGGACGTGGCTTGTTTTTTCTACTGGAAGCTGAATGGATGGAGTAAAGTAGGCATTTCATTTAGAAAGATAGGTTAATGGGTTTTAGAAGAGTTATTACAACCTAACAGATTCCTCCTGCTAGCCTGATTATTTTCAAAACTAATAGCTGGAGGGGCGTGGCTAAGTATGTTAACCATACCCAATGCCTCAGACTGACATAATCTGAGAATTTAACTGAAAGAAAAAATGAGGAAGTGCATTTTCAGATTACTATTTTAGATTACAAGGGTAAACAAATTTTTTCCTCTTAATGATATGCACAGATGAACTGTTCACCACAAAACTAGCAATAAAAGTTAGAAAAATAAATATGGTTATTTTTAATTGCAGTTGCACTTCAAAGAGGCTAGAATCATCTGCCACTCTCTAAGCACTAAAGTACCTGTAACATTACGTGAAGCAGCGGTTGTGTGTCTTACCTACAGGTGCCCACTGGTTTGGGCAGTACCACCCCAGCAGTGTACACAGCCTGAAAGATGCCCTCCAAGTTGACCCGTCTGGTGATCTCCCTGATGAGCACCGGAGCCACTCGTTTCGCACGGAGTTTCTTATGCACACACAGAAAGTTAATCTCCACCATCTTCTTTTCTCTAGGAGGGTCAAACAGCAGACGTGGGTCAAATGAAAACAATAATAATAATAAATAAACAAATTAAAACAAGACAAGTGTTAGACATACGAATCAAACTATAAACATATACGAGTAAACAAGTGCATTACATTCTACTCAGCACAATATGAAATAAAACTGGATTATGAATTAAAAACTTTACAAATAAATGATATAACCAAGCAAAATGATCTGTGGATTTTCTGATCATTACTCTTACATATAGCAGTTGTTATTACTGGCAAAATATTAAAGGCATAGTTTACCCAAAAATAAAACATTCATTCTGTAATTATTTCCTTTACCTTTACTTGTTTTAGACCTTTCTGAGTTTATGAGTTTTCTGTTAAACACAAACTAAGATATTATGAAGAATGCTGGAAGCTAGTCACCATTGATTTCCATTGTATTTCCTTTTCCTACTATGGATGTTAATAGTTACTAGTTTTCAGCTTTCTTTATAATATCTTTAGAGTCCAATAAATGAAAGAAACTCATAAAGATTTGAAACCAACTAAGGGTGAGTAATTTAAATTTTTTTGGGTAACTATTCCTTTAAGATTTACCACAAACATGCCAGTGACTGTGACTGGTTGCAAAAAGGATTGATGCACAGCAAAGAGGCTTTGGAGAAACACAACAGTGGTGATGTAAATCAATTATTCAGTTATTTGTGCAGCCCAATTAGAGATGCCTTCTAATGCCACATTTTCAAGATCTCAAATTATAAACTTCAAGTCAATCACCTGCAATAGTGAGTAAAACAGGCAATTCTGTTCATGTAAATACGCAGAAATGAAGCTAAATTTTAACTCAGATTTGGTTTAAACTTTGCCTTTTGGTGCTGGATCGCATGTCTGGATCCAGAATAATAATGCGCTCACTATTTATTTACTGAAAACTTTTATGATTTTCTTAATTCTGTTGAACACAAGTAAAGATATTTTGAAGAAAGCTGAAAACCTGTCACTATTTACTACTATAGTAAGAAAAAAATGAATAGAATGAAGGTTACCAGTTTTCAGCTTTCTTCAAAATATATTCATTTGTGTACAACAAAAAAAACTGTAAAATAAAAAACTGGTTTGTGACAAGAGCGAGTAAATTATGACATATGTTTGGGATTAACTACAAACTACAATCAAAAACTACAAATGTTAATCCTTAAACTTTTTATTAAACTAATAATAAGTAATTAAGCACAAAATAATAGTTTAACTAGTCTTGCAAAATCTGATTTTTTTTATTGATGCACCATCATCTATTTTGCACAGACACATACTCATTATACCTATGCTGAATGAATACCTATGCACATGCAATGTACATGTTCAATGCAACTGTCACTAAAGTGCCAAATTTAGCAATCAAATGCAGTTCCAGGAAGAAAAAGATGTTAAAATGCTGATTTCAGTGTATGGCTGCAACAATGAATCGATTAAATCGATTAAAATTGATTACTGAACATGATGCTGTCATGTATATCTGCACTGCAAAAAACTTTTCTTGGTAATTTCGTCTCATTTCCAGTCCAAATATCTAAAAAAAAAATGTCTTAAATTAAGAACAGACAAGATAAATGGCATTAGAAAATTAAGTGATGTTTAAAACTTTAGTTTGAGATTTTATTTCATTAAGATTATTTTTCTGACCCCATTGACAAATGATTTTGCTTGATTTAAGCAAACAATGACTTAACTTTCTTTTTTTTCTGAAAACAAGATATAATTTCTTATGCTAATTCATGTGTCTGAAATGTATCCAATTTAAAAATATTTAGATATTTGGATTGAAAACAGGACAAAACCACTTAATTTTTTTATTATAATCATTATTATAACAGCTTAGGGATGAGCTTTTTTAAATAAAGGGTTGGAAATGAATTCTTTTCTTCTTTTGTTTTTTATCCGGTTCAACGAAAAATAATCGACAGATTAATCGATTATTAAAGTAGTCGTTATTTGCAGTCCTATTTCAGTTGCTTTAAACTGGTATGTAGATCCACTTATGACTGCTTACATGTCATAGATGCGGATGTTGGCTGGAATGGCACTGATGAATCCAACTAGCTTCTGATTAGAGTTCACTCTCACTCCACAATGCCACTGAGGCAACCAGCCTGGAGGACGCAGAGCCCTGTAACAAACACAATTCAGAGGAACTGAGAGGAGGACAAACTAAAAAAATAGTATGCCATTCAAAAACAAGGCAAAAAAAACAAGAATAGATCACTTTGATCAAGGTTTTTATAACAAATCTGTTGAACATTCATACCAGAGCAGAAATTCAGGAGAGTAATCAAAGCGAAACATGTTGTCGTCATCCTCCACGTAGTTCTCGTTCAGGAGTGTGTATAGCTCTTTCAGCTTTAAAGAAAACAAACAGCAGTTTTAACAACTGTTTCCAGTTGTATATTTGTATGTATAAGATAGTGAGACATGCTGTACCACTGCAGCGTTTCCTAGGTCGAGAGTGTCCCAGGTAAAGCCTTGCGGGAGGCTGTAGGGCTCCTCTCGAATGTTATCTTTATCTGGCTCAATACAACCATGTGATGTCACAGTCTCACCTACAAACAAACAAACAGACAGACAGAATCAAGTTATGTTTCATCTACAGATAACAATGCAGTATAAACAACAGGGTTGTAAATGAACACAAAATTCACAGTTGGGTATACATCACATTTGCTTAATTATGTTTGAAAGTTTTATTCAATTTCGGTACGGTTTGGGAGATGAAAAGCTAAACGTATAATTGGTTGAGATGTTTAATTGTTATTAATTAGGGATATAACGATTCATTGTTAGTCGGTTGACAATCAATTAAAATGTGACGATTCAAACCAGAAGAAATGTTGAATGAATGGCAATACATTTTTTGAAAGGTGGTGCTGTTTAAAGGTGCAAACTTGCTTTATCAGCGGTGAGCAAGAGGAGGGGCGGCTGAGTAAAATGACAGCGGTGAAGTGTGCCAGACAAAACAAATACTGTAAAATGACGTTTACTTAAACTAACAGAAGAGCGAATATGATGCACATAAACCATCAGCACAGCGAAAAACTACTCTCACAGATGCCTATACGCGAAAAAAAAACTATTAATAAGCCAAACCACACGGACCGGATGATTAGCAGCTCCGCTAGCTTCTGAGGGGTGCTACAGAGATCACACGGTGCATCAATGTTTTCATAGCGAAGCTGTGAAGATGTTTTTCAGAATGAAAGAGAAGGTTGTTCTGGTACAGAACCAGGTATTGGATTATTTTTACCCTCTCTTTTTCAAATTAATACATGCATTTTTTTATAATTTGCTTATTATTATTGAATATTTAAAAATGTTCAAGATTATCTCTTTTAAAGTCCATCACACTGATACTAATTAATTACACAAGTATTATTATTTGCCTTCATAATCATATTTAACTCCTGTCTCCATCCTACTATATAATTAGTCATTTTATAATCAGAATTGTATGCCAGTGGCCAGACCCTTGGATCAGCGGACCAAATGACCACCTCTGTACACTCTGCTCTGTGGTATAGAAAAGGCTTTCCTCTTCACACCAGCCATCTCAGTCCCCAGTGAGTGTTCTCATCAGCAGGGGACACAGTAAATGCGCAAAGACCTCAGCTTATGCCAGAAAACATAGAAATGCTTATATTTCTTTTTAAAAAATTTAAAAATCCCAGCAGAGTCACAGTTTTAGTTTGTTCATATTAATGATCCTTCAAAAATAACAAAATTGTTGAAAACAAAAACAGAAGTTCTCAAATAAATAAAGTAATTCTCAAATCAATTAAACAAAATATGTGAAAGTGCGAAAGTAAACTCTCTTTATATGTAATATGAAAATATATTTCAAAAATAGTGATTGGTCATATGGATAAATCGGATTTTTTCAGTAATTTAAAACTAAGTTTCAAGCTATTTTTAAAAACATTGCAGCGTGGATAAAAAGTTGTCAGAAAATACTCACACTGACTGCCACAAAGTCTACAAAAGAGCATTTAAGTCTAGTGGTGTCACTTTCCATGTTTGTTTGTTTGACAACATTTTTCATTGATAATGGTGGGCTGTGATGTCAAGCAATGTTAAATGATTATTCACATGAGAGGCTCTGGTGTGATCACAGTTTTTGTCATTATATTGTGAAAACAACTTAAAATCACATCATTTCAGCCACAAACAAGAGTCAGCAGTAGCCAAAGTTAAAGCTAAGTGATGTGCTCAAAGCGTGTTCATAGTAGGAACTCAAATTTTAATTATGTTTGCTGTACATTTAAAAAAAAAGGACTGCATTCTTTACATTAACTTTTCTATATAAATACATGTGCCATTATACCCCTATAAAACAATCCTAAAAAAAATATAAAGCAAGCCGGTTGTTGGTGATATTACTTGATAACATGCATACAGGTGGCCATATAGTCCTAATGTTTTGGTAGTCAAGCAGTCAAATGCGCAAATTAACTGAACATGTAACACATAATGCCACAAAAATAATGCAAATGTAAATGATCAATACCAAGTTTGGGAACAGGCTGAGTGTCCCAGAACTGATAACTGCGACGTGTGGCCTCCTCCATGGTTTTAGCTGGACCCTGTCCCACCGAGAACAGCTCAATGGCCTTCTGGATCTCCTGTAACTTATCAGCTGGGAGAGAGTTTACCTGATAAACACAAAAAGACATAATTTTACTCTTATGAAAAGGACTGTGAATGTACCATGGAGCAATGATAGTATCACACTGAGGTATTTATAAAGTAACCCAAGATAAATTGATGTTTGAGGTACTTCCTAGTCTTATAAATTGCTCATACGAGTAGATCATGCAACTGGGACAGTGCTTAAATTTAACATTTCCTGTCTAAAACACACTCCACCAATTTTTTAAAATATTGTTTATTTGAAAAGTAAATGGCGTCGTTGAAAATCTCAGACCGCACAGAGTAAAAAACAAACAATGATATAATTATTGAAGAAAATAAAACACACTGCTATATTTCTGCAAGTGTACCATGTTTAGTGTTTCAATTCATATTGAACAGTCATGTTGCACACGACAGACTTATGCCAATAATTATAGATGTGGCCATTAGTATTAAAATAATTTGACGTAGATACATGAAAAATTTAAAACTGAAAGATTACATGAAATGTTTTGATTATATATTGATGAAGTTTTAAAAGCTACAGGTAACTTGGCATCATAAAATGATATTCCACAAACAAACAAACAAACAAACAAACAAACATAAATATGGATTTTGATATCTGGCAGAGACAACAGTTAACAGTCATATTAAATTATCATTGATATTAACGATATATTATGACATTAAAACTCACTTTGGCCAGAGGATCCTGAGCGGCATCTTTTGCTCCAGACTTGTCCTTGTTCTTTTTCTTCTGTTTCTTTTTCTTCTTCTTGGCACCTGTGTCGCCCTTCTCCCTGTGGATCATATGAACTCAGCTGACATGGACGGATATAATGAGAGGTTTATGTCCACTCAGCACTGTCTGCAGCTGATGCAGATGAAAAGCTCAATAGAGCATCACTGTGTTTGATACAGCCAGCAGTATATTAGGAGAACCTCTTGCTACCATACAACAACACCTAGATGCTGGATTTTTGTAATATATAATAAACATGAGAGTAAAAATTGCCATCACAATAATATTCTTTTTTTTTATGGAAAAAAAGCATTTGCGGGTGTATACAAATAGTGTTACAAGTTGGTAGTTAACTTATTTTGTTATTTCTAAGCAATGCATGAGAATGTGATTTACTAAATCAAAACAAAATACCTTTAAATAATTAAGCGAAAGATCGAACAGTGCTGTCATTCTCAATGGCACTGCGACAACAGAACAAACACTGTGCCTCGAGCAAAACTGTTAGAGGCTATTTGATGGATTTACTGAACAACAATATGATATTAAGAGATATACAAAAAAAAAATAATAATAATAAAATACATATATATATATATATATATATATATATATAGCAGCTTATTATAACAGACTTTTCAGCAATTCAGAGTGCCGTTGCTTGAAGTAAATAAACTCCATCTCTGCAAGAGCTGAGTTTGAATTGCCTCTAACACGATTTTGAAAATGGAACATGGTCCAAAGACCTTCCATTTGTAATGAGAATGCTTCATAAATCGTTTTCAAGAGAGGCATTTCAAAATAGAGGTTTCTCTGTGGTTTGTGACAAAGTTACAGGCCATGTAAATTCTATTTTGACATTTCTAACATATAAAAAGGAATTTCAGAACGAACAAAGAGAAACAGTCTTGAGGTTTTTTAAATTATGGAAAATTCCAAAAAAATTAGGACCTCCAGTCATCATTCACTCAACCTAGGCCTGGGCGAAAATGGCAAAAATGAAATCTCAATAATTATTTTCCATATTGAATGTAAACGATATATATTGTGATACAAATTGTTAATGCTTCAAGATTTAAAAGAGTATCCAACAATTACTGAAGACACAAAAATGAGAGGGTCGATTAAATGCCATAACATTTTTATCGTCGATGAATTATCGGTGACCGAAAATTCAGTACATGTCTAATATCAAAACACTTTTAGATTGCCATTGTAGCACATTTCTGCTGTGTGATTGGCTCACAGATCAATATTGAGTAAAAAAAAGTCCTGAGCTTATTAGTGTTATTGACATTAATTTTATCGCAATTCAATTTAAAATTGTTTATCAACCCAGCCCTAACTAATTCCAAACTGGCATCAACATGCGTTTTGCACAAACAAAGGATTTCAATAGAATCCAAAATGATTTGGTTACCAACATTCCTCAAAATTATCTTTTTTTCCACAGAAGATTTTAAGGGTGCTTTCAAACCTTTGGATAGATTATTTTGTTCCAAAACAGAGACTGAAGTTGTTACAGTGTTGCACTTTGCTCATGTTGGTGTGGTTCGATTTCACACTGCGAAGTTTCTAAATGGACCAAAATAGCTAAAACAAGTCACTTGCAAGTAAACTCTCCTTACATTGGTCAGAGTTTCACTGTGTATTTTGGGGAGTCCCGCTCGGCTGTCATGCATCCTTATTTTAATTTATGGGGATAATGAGAAATAAGACATTAGAAGTGAAGAGCTGCACTTACAATTTAAATGGTGACAGTCACCCACAGACATCGTCAGACCGACGTCAGACCAATCTCAGACCGATTGGTTTGGCACGTATCTGAGCACGATTGCTGGCTTCACATATGCCAAACAAACCGCGCTAACTTGGGAAACGCGCCAGGTTCTGAAACAAGTCTAGATGTGAAAGCACCCTGAATGACATGAGGGTGAGTACATGATGAAAGGTGCCACTGAATGCACTGATACAATGCGTTACATTGTTCTTTAATATGTAAATAGAAGGTAGGTGCCTTAGGTAGGAATAACAAATTTCCCAGACATGGTTTTACAGGACCATTTCTGACCCTAGAAATTGGCCCCAATATGACAAGAACAGTTTTGACTATATTTGGAAAGATCATGAAAATGAATGAACTGTGCTCTAACTCTCCATCAGTAACTTTTAAATACACATGTGGAAAATAATTATACTAAAGTTATTCATACTTCTGAGTGAATCTTGCATGACAAATTAAGTAGATGACTAGCTTAATGACAATAGTTTAAACGACAATAGTTTAAACTGAAGTTATAGAGAGGTTTATTTTAGCTAGAAGTAGTGAGAGCCTTCTTTATGCAACAAGAAAAGCATAGCTTGCTCCTGAGTTGTGTTGAAGAGGAAACACAGGCTAAATTACAATTATATTCGACAAAAGGGACCAATAGTATTGTATTTTTATGCTTCAATGTATATGAAAACACAGGAAGGAATTAATATTGCCATCTGCTTAAACAGATGAGTTTCCTAAAGTGTATTGCGGTCCTTTCACTCCAGAGAAATCACAGCAAGAGCTGAGTGATATGACACAATGCATAAGCTTGCATTAAATACTTAATGCTCAGCAGTTTACATGTGTTTGTTGCTTCATTACAAGCATATGTTGCAAATTTCCCAATACACATGACACATTTAATAGACCTTATGTGTCTTCGGGGTGGAACTAAATTAATTTACAATCCGTATATCCTGCATTTTCATCCTGACTCATTGTGAACTGCATAACAAAACAGATATTCCTTAAAGCCTGTTCCCTTTTTAAAGTAAAATTGACACTTACATAGCAAGTATAATACAAGCTTATAATTGTAATCTCAATACGAAACCTTATGACCAATGAAATGCTGCTGGGGCAAGCATATTACCTTATTGACCCTGAGTGGATTGTCAGTGTTTTGTTCCAGTTGGCATGTTTTTTCTTCCCTCACAGGAATATTACAATCACAGGATTTACATTTGTATGAGAAAATGAGGATGATGTTTGAGGCTCACGGTATGTCATTTCCATGTACTTATTATTCAGCGTCACCTAGGTATATCCAGGTTTTCGTTGTACGGCAACTTTAAAAGCACTATTTTTAGAGTAAACTAAATCTGGTTTAATTAAACCTGTTAACTCAGTTTTTATATTAGAAACAAATATTCGTTCTGGAAAAACTGAAGGTTCCGCTGAATCTGAGATTCAAAATTACAGAAAATCTAATGACTGAAATATGCATCATTTTTTCACAGTAGCTCATTATGCAATTTAATTCACACTAGAACTACACGAGAGTCGAGCTGCAATGGGACGACTTACAAAGAGTCGCACAACTAATCCTATTAATGTCCATGGAGGAAGAGAGGTGACTGCCACAGCTACATTTGTTAATGGGGGACAGATGGTCCATCACATGACCTGCAGAAAAAGCATGTTTTGTATGTTCGAGAGGATGTGGACTATTGCACAAAGATGCCGAATAAACTAGCACCCCTGTGACTATTGCCTTAACAGCCACGTATACCTGTTAAAAGAGCAATAAGTGTGAGCTGCAAAGCAGGATGTTTTATAACATAATGGGCAATTTATTGTAGATTTAAATGATTGATGTAAATTATGACTGAGGAGGTTTGTTTTTCAGCTAACAATGTTGAGACGTCAGAAACAAGTTATTAAGATTTCACTGCATCTAAAGTTTGATGTTAATATAGAGAAAAACACTTAAAAATATTTGATTTAAAAAGAAGAAAATTATTACTTTTATTTGATGCCCAAAAATTAGCCTGCAATGTACAACCAAACAATGTATAACACGTTTCTTTTATTGCAATTAAATATGCAGAAATTTACTAATATTTCCATAACAAAAATCTGAAATCTAATTATAAATATATATATATATATATATATATATATATATATATATATATATATATATAAACTTAATAAAAATACTGTTAGAATTTTTAGACAGTAAAAATCTTTGTTTTTAAGAAAATGTTTTTAAGACATATCATATTTATTCTACAGACCAGTTGTGACATTTAAAGCTATTTTGGATGGTTTTGCTACACTAATCGGAAAGAAGACAAAATATATTAAAACAAAACAGAACCTAAAACTCACTGGAGAGTAAAATATAATGGTTTTGCCTGCAGTAGCATTGCTGAAAGAGGCATCTGTATTACAAAATCCCTCATAGCGTTCACAAGGTCTTATGTTTATTCAGTATCCTATTTGGTCTCGATGCACTTTCAATTGTACCTCATAAGACAACAAACCGATCAAAGACTTAATTTAAATACCAATGAATTAAACTACAATGCATGTGTAATGAAAAATATCATCAATATAACACCAGAAACCCCAGATTATTTAAATTAAGCGCATAATGACTGAACGGATAGCGTTACGTGATCTTCGGCACACATCACTTCACTATAACTCAATATCTCACTACTTCTTGTGTCTGATTCATTCGAGAATGTTCCTGTACACGACCTTGAGCAACTGCATAAGATTTATTAACGCACGTAATTTTTATTCTGTTTTGTTTATTTGTTTGAGCAGATGAGCTGTTTGCTACTGAAAGAGAAACTCCTTCACTGAACACGCCTGGATGTTGGGAAACCATGAACCTTTAATAAAAAAGTTTAACGATGCTACTAGCAGCCGTCAGGCTAACTAAATCACGCCAAGCCAAGGGTTAGTGACAGTAAATCCATTTTACATGATAATACCTAGTGGTGATAAAGGCCTGCAGGATTATGTTTGAACGCAATTTTTAGAGGCGATCTATACATATTGTACAGTTTATAAATGGCAGCTTTGAATATAACAGTTTATTCGTTTTTATGCACGAAATTTTGAGTAGGCTGTTTATACACCTCATACAAATGCCAAAGATCCTATGAAACCTGGCTATACCGAACCGTCCTCATGCATGATTGACGGCGCCTGGCCCAATCGTGTTCGAGAACCGTCTGTCAATAAAGGCAGTGAACCAATAGCGTTGGACCAGGAGGCGGGCCGACATGCTGTACGCGTGCCTCAGCTTGGCCGAACAAGGGCCCTGTCTTTTCGTAACGTGAGGAGGACTAATTTACATTTGAGAGCTAACAATAAAATACATGCACGCTCACCCGTCATCGGAGTGATGCTCTTCATTTTCACAATTGCTGCAGTGTCCATGATCCTCTTCTACCTCCTCTTCTTTCTCTGGCAGCGGTGCTGTCTCATTCTCATCCGCCATGTTTAACCAGGAAGTGAGGATCTCGCCCTGCGCTCTCACACCCCGCAAAACCATTGGTGGACTGCCGCAAAGCCCGACGGTATGCGTAGTTTATAGCAATGAGCCCCAAGTAACCCAACTCAGTCACTCGATTTCGGCTTTTCACCCTCTTTTATCAGGGGTCACCAAAGAGGAATGAACGCCAGGAGCAAGAACCAGTTGTGTACATTTTACCCTAACATAAATGCGGATGGGTGTAAGTTAGCTGTTAGCACAAATAAGGAGTGGAACTATCGGTTTTCATTTAACGTTAATTTCGTTTTCATTAACTGTTTTCGTTTTCATTGTCTGTCTAACGTTATATGTCTGTCAGTCTGTCTTTCTATGTCTGTCTATCGACATCTATCTGTTTGTCAATTTTAACAGTGCACAATTGTAAACCTTACTGTAAATTCGGTTGTCTTTTTAATGTCTATTTCTACAACAAAGATGCAACATTTTAGCAGTAAATAAAACACACATTTGGTACAATTAGCTTTGCACATTTATAAAACGTAGGCATGCTTTTAAAAGGCACTACATCTTTGCAATACCAATAAAAACAATTAAAAAGCACAATCAGGATTAATTCACAGATTTCCACATTTTTAAAACTACCCAAGCAAAAAGAAATCAAATGAATTAGTTTTTTTTTCTTAAGAGGTAATGTTGTCTGCTGCTGATAATACAAAGTAAATACTAAACATTGAGTCAATTAATTTACTGATTATCTATTTCAAAATAGTCTAGAAAAATTGTGTTTTCCTAAAAAATAAATTCACATTCACACACACATATACAGTACTGTATGAACAACAAGACATTAAGATCAAAAGATGATCTGGTTTCTACTAAGAAACTGAACATTTACAATTAAACTTGTTTGTAGAGAAACAGTTAATATCATATTATAACATTTAATTAAATATTATAGCCTAGTACAAAATACAGATCTTTATTATCTGAACCATGAGTTACCATAATTTAACAAACCTGCCATTAAATGACGTATAGAATGGCAAGTGCTATAGTTGCCTCTAAATCATCAAATTAGCACTAGACAAATATAATTTGACCAGTTTTGGAGATCTTAGGATAACGGACTTTGCTAATGCTTGTAATGCATTGTTAATGCTGTAGTTTAATGATAAACCCTTCTGTTTTTTCAACCACTGTTAAACACAGACTTCATAATTGGATGTTGTTATTTAAAGTATCTAGCTAAATTACTTTATAGAATAATCTGATTATTCTGCTGAGTTACTGATGTTGTTTAAATCAATGAAAACATACTTGCATACAAAAATAAACCAGTCATGACCCTTACTAAACAATCCTGACACTTTCCAAGCTTTCAATGTCTCCTCAAAATCTCTTTTTTTAATTTTTGTCAAATAATAATTAAGTATATGAACTCACAAAATGACAAAAGACTAATTTCTGTGTTCACATAAGTCTTAACACTACTTTAAGGCACGTTTACACTAGTGTGTTCTCATTTTAAAACCGTGTACAGCCTAAAACGCATGATGCATGATTACTGACGCTCATTAGGCATGCGCATAACTTTGCCAGCATTCAGACTTGCAGTCTACCGGTGGTGTAATGGTCAGAAGGGGTTGTGAACTGAAGTAACAGTACGCTATAGTGTTGTTTAAGGATAAAATGTGGCTAACTGCAAACAAAATAAAAGTATGTGTGTGCTGTGCACACACATACATGTACATGATTAAAAATATTTACATATAGATTAACATTTAGATAGAATTATAAATATATATAAATAAACACTTTCTATACTTGTATATTCACATACATGGATGTGTGTATTTATACACAATAAATATACACAATATACAATTATGTAAAGGCAAACTTTACAAAAACAAGCAAAGTTTTGTGGAATTTGTGGAAAAAAAGTTACTGTTTTGAACAATGTCTTTCTTTGATCTTTATGACCAAAATGACAAAATATTTTAAGGTTTTCACTGCCAAAAGAAAAAAAACACGAGAATGTAAGCGTACCTGCGTGTCTGTTGACATCACATGCTGAAGCTTTAATTCAGTGAATACTGCATACTTTTAATAATCCAGAGTTTAAGTCAAATTCAAAAATGTTCTGTAGCTATGTTTCCTTCCACCTATTTTTATGCGCATCTTGGAGATGCTCATAAAAAATGGTTGATGAAACCACCATGAAGCGCATAAATTTTGAAAGTGCACATAAAAAACATATGCACGTAACTGAGTAGGATAAACTTTTTATTTAACAGAGAAAAGATGTATGAAAATTCCAGTATGCGCATAAAAAATAAATTTATATAATAAATAAATAATGTGATTTTGTTATAAGAGATCATGTGATGATAAAAATGTGTGTGAATGAACAAACTAGCAGCCTAAGCACATTGTAAACCATCTGAAATGTTGTTTTGGTTATTCTAAAATGCCTTAACCATCTTATGCTCCGTTCACACCAGACGCAGAACGCGCGTCAAGCGCTAGTGATTTACATGTTAAGTGAATGCAAACGCACGAATAGACATCCTGCGGGGCGATATGTGTGGATTCGTGCCACGATTAGCGCCTTATGCGCGAATTGAGGTGCATTCAGCTCTGTGAGCTCATAAACCCCTCCAGAAACTGAACCTGGATGACGGAGGCTTTCAGCAGTGCTTTTGACTGAGCCAAGCCCAGTTTGATGACTTGTTGTTGGTGTCGCCTGGAAGATTTCCCCCGGGACACCCTCAATAGGTTCTACTCGAGCAATTCGCGCAAAACGCGCAACTCAATGCGTATCGCACCGCAGGATGTTTGTTCGCGCGTTTGCATTGATTTAACATGTAAATCACTCGCGCTTGACGCGCGTTCCGCATCTAATGTGAACGCAGCATGAGTGTTAATACATTATTAATGACCTGCAGAATCAAGAGTGTCTGTGCTCTGCGTCTGACACCTTCAAAGTTCAGTCGTTTATTAGATTAAGAAAAGATTGACGCAGTTTCTTGGATCACAGCAAATTCTGTTTTTACTGTTGATATTTGGCGCCAGTTGACGATTTTGTTCGCTTTGATTCGTGGAAACGCTGCTTTATTCGCACATCTTTTATGTGATAATTCAGTTTTGCGCATAAAGTTCATTCGCATTTTTGGATGGAAACAGCTATTGTCACCAAGCTATCCTCACAATAACAGACGTGTGTGCACTGATCCATGAATGTCTCAGAAAGTTATACTTTTACTTATGAACACTGTCATCAATATAAACATCGCAGCTTTTTTATCCACTCAGACTTGTTTTCAGGTGGGCTGATAAAGATTGCTGCATACTCGACTTCCAGAAATCATGTATATTTAATTAGATGACAATTGAGGATCTGTTAAAGTGTTTCCAGAAAAGTGTGCCATAGGCATCAGATATTAATGCCCCATTCACATGGGGCTTCAGCGTCAACGCTTGAGGTGTTTGAGGTTGGGGCTGACACGAACGTCATAGCAGTGTCAGGCTATGAAATTAGTCAGCAATCGGCTACTGCCTAAGCGGGTGTATTTGCATACAGCGATCTGATTGGCTGACGCTTCCGTTGGCGCTTGAAAATTTGAGAGAGTCCCAACTTTTGCAGCGAGCAACGCCACTGAAGCGGCGCAGATGGATCCACAATGCAGTTCAGCAATGCCTGATTTAAAGTGAATGGGAAGCGTTGAAGCTGACGCCCCGTGTGAATTTGGTGTTAGCCAAAGCTCTGTGGGTGTTGCTTGGCGTGACGTCTTAGGCTGAGACTATTCAAAGACTAACTGTGGACAGCCATGCTTCCCTTTTTAAAAGTCTGCATTTTGGCACATCTATATTAAAATGCAACACCCATATTTTAAAACCAAATTTTCAGCTTTTTAAAAATGTTCAGTTTTGGTGGTTGAAGATGCCAGAGTAGTGTACACAACTGGCATAACTGCTACAAAACCTTTAAAACAAAAACACACCTGTGTAAACAGTGCCTAATTCAACTAAAATATAAATTAATCATAAAATATAATTTTGTAAGAAATCAAGGCTTAAAATCTCTCTCCTAGAAAACAGATTCTACGAGCAACGCTGACCTGTAACTTAGAACAACACTGACTTCATAACATATCTCACTTGCAGTATAGCTTATTAGACGTTCTGCTCTGCAGACAGCAGCACAAATGAACAATAAAAGCAAAATGCACTTTGAATCTCAGGTCTACACTTGACTTCTGTATCACCCATTGTCCATGTTTTTTCCAGGTGGTCTCACTGTGAAGAGTTCCAGCACCTCGAGAGCCCGGCTCAGGGGCTTTTCCTTCGGTAAGGTACTTGCGGAAAGAAACCTTTCCAGAAATCATGACAAAATCATCAGGCCTTGCCTATCCTCTCAGAAACGGTTTTAATATGAACTCCTCGCCGTACCACCTTGACATGGATGAAGAGGGTGGCAGGAGAAAGAGTGGAGCCGTCAGCTTTCAGCAGGTGGACGTGACGATAACCTGAAAAATATCACAATAACAAACATGGAAGAAAAATGTAGTTAAGTAATATGTGCCTTACAAAAATTAACCATGGATTTTTTTTTTTTTTTTTTAAATAGAAGTAATCATGGTTTTTGAGTTAACTATGGTTTAACTACATAATCCATGTAGTGTTTTTAAGGGGTACCAAATAAATCACAATTTAAAACTTGACATATTTAGTTTTTTCACAACAGTTTACTTCAGAATTCCTGATTTTCTTTCAGCATTTTTCCATACAAATGAAAAGGATTCATTCAAATGCATGCCTCTTAAGCCTGGTTTATACTTCTGCATGAAGTGACCGGCGTAAACCCACGATGCAGGCAACGTGCGTAGCTGTGCATTTATACTTCTGCGCGCTGTCTCTGTTGGCCTGCATTAACACTTCCAAAATGCTAGTGGGCAGAGAGGTGTTAATGTTCCTCTGTGACGAGTTTCTTCGCTGCTGTTTTGTTCTTTCTGAACGCTTCCGAATGTACAAGTGGCTCAAACTCGCTCATTTTGAGGCAGGAACTGGCGGACGTGCAACAACTTTAACTATGAGGTAAACACAAAACAAAACTTTTCATCCGGAGCTCCTTCACGGGACTCCACACTTGTAAACAATCGCTCCATCAGGCTCGCACCATTCACGCGGCTCTCGGTCCCGCCCAGACTCGTCAGTGCTACCAAGCTGACCAATCACAGAGCTTGCGCTACGCGTCGTTGCGACGTGTAGTTAAATTTTTTAAAAGGTACACGTCAGCAAAGCCGACGGCCACGGCGAAGGACTATGCGTCAGCGCCGTAGCATACGCCGGCGTTTGACGCAGAAGTTTAAATCAGCCTTTACTGATCTCTTAAGCCTGGTTTATACTTCTGCGTCAAGTGACCGGTGTAACCCACGGCGCATACAACGCCCGTAGCTGTGCATTTATACTTCTGTGCGCTGTCTCTGTTAGTCTGCAGTAACACTTTTGAAACGCTAGATGGCAGTGAGATGTAAATGTTCCTCTGTGTCGAGTTTCTTCGCTGCTGTTTTGCTTTTCCTGAACACTTTCTGGATGTACAAGTGGCTCAAACTCGCTCATTTTGAAGCAGGAACCGGCGGACGTGCAACTATGAGGTAAACACAAAACAAAACTTTCCATCCGGAGCTCCTTCACGGGACTCCACACTTGTAAACAATCACTCCATTGGGCTCGCGCCATTCACGCGGCTCTCGGTCCCGCCCAGACTCGTCAGCGCTACCAAGCCGACCAATCACAGAGCTTGCGCTATGCGTCGTTGCGACGTGTAGTTACATTTTTTGAGAGGTGCACGTCCGTGACGCCGACGGCCATGGCGAAGGGCTATGTCAGCGCCGTAGCATACGCGTGCGCTTGACGACGAAGTATACATCAGCCTTAAGTCATCTGTAAACTATTCTTAGAATCCACAAACAAACAAAAGGAGCTCCAAGGGTAATTAATGTATAAGTGCTCTTCTGATAATGGATTCTTTTTGGTATGCCAAAAAAGGCTTTCGAAAAATGGCTATTATATTAAAAGCTTTTGTGAGCAGCTATGCATTTTGGTAAGCTTGCCTTCATCAGGGTAATGAGTTGGCTACTGAACTTTTTTTTATTTATTTTCCTGTCTTGGACAGTACCTTGGACTGATTCTTTTTTGTAAACTATTCTTCTTTAGGATTATATATATATGCATTACATATAGTACATAAAATATAATCATGATCCATTCCCAAAAATACCATGGGCAGTTTAAGTTGGAGAATATAAACACAAACATTGCTTCCACCACACATCATGTTTGCTGTATGTTTCAGTGTGTAAAGTATCTGCAGATTTTACTGTGAAAACCAAACACACACACACCTGTGCGTAGGCTGGTGAAGGGCAGGGTGAACTGGCCAATGAAATCATTCTTGGATTTGTGGTCATGATCTTCCACCATGAATCGAACTAAAGCCAGTTCAGGCAGCTGCAGCTGAAAGCTCACAGTGCAATCCCAGCGAGGGTTAAAGCCTGCAGGGGGAGACAAACACACACACATGCACACATACAAACCCATCCACACACACAATATTCAATTTGTTGTTTGTTACACAAAAAAATGAATGTAAAATTACATAAAACAAAAGACAGCATTTAATATACAGACACCATAAGAACATCATTAATGTTTCTATCCTACAAATTCTCAAATTTATAAAAGATATTTTCAATCATTCATTCATTTTCCTTTGGCTTAGTCCCTTATATATCAGAGCGTGCCACAGTGGAATGAACTGCCAACTATTTTTTCATGTGAATTTTGCAGATGATGCCTTTTAGCCGCAACCCAGTACTGGGAAACACCAACACTCAAACACACGGTTTTATTCACACTCATACACCACGGCCAATTTTGTTTAACCAATTCACCTATCCTGCATGTCTTGTCGTTGGACTGTGGGAGAAATTGGAGCAGCCGGAGGAAACGCACGCCAACACAGGGAGAACATGCAAACATACAGAAACATACAAAACACTTCACACAGAAATGCCGGAATTCAAACTACTAACCTTCTTGCTGTGAGGAGACAATGCTAACCCCTGAGCTACTGTGCCGCCCCCAGATCTAGATATTTTAATGGATTTATATGGACTAAACTGATAATGTGTGCTTTTGATCCACTGCTTCAAGAAACTTATAAACCTATACAAATAATTTGTATTGAACTATGAGCCTTTAGAGGTTTACCTGCACAACACTTACTAGCTGGCCTCCGTTACAGTCACCCCCCCAAAACCTCACTCCCATCTGAGTCACGGTACCAATGTAACCTCATCGGTCCTACACCACCCAACCCGCTCCGAACTGGGATCAAACCAGTAACCTTCCGCATGGGAGTCAGTTGCTTTAACAAGAAGTCTAAAGACCATGGCCTCTAACATTTGTTGCTGGTTCGCTGTCCTTCACAGCACTTACTAGCTGGACTTGGATGGATGGATGGATGGATGGATGGATGCATGCATGCATGCATGCATGCATGCATACATACATACATACATACATACATACACACAAACATACACACACACACACACACATATGAACCAGTGACCTTCTTGCTGTGAGGCGACAGCACTACCTACTGCGCCACTGCTTCGCCATATATATATTTAGACACTGAACATCTTTATAAATCTATATGTAATATATCTATATATAAAGGTAATACATTTAAATCCATGCAAATTATTGATTGTTTTAAAGAGATTTTTGTTTCTCTTGAATTTTGCTCTATTTTGCTTTATTTAATATTTTTCTATAACACGGTTTTTAACCGTTATCATAAGTTATTTTGTTGGAATAGCTCCAGATTTTACTTCAGTACTGACTAATATAATGAATATGCACAAATATAATATTGTAGAGCTTCCTATACAAAATATTAATTTAAATGAGAGATTTGTGAGGGGTGTGCTCATAATTATAACATAACAGATGCATTTGCATTGTTTTGCGGCAGGCATCAGAAATGTGTAGCATTTTGAGCAATTTGAAATATTTTGTAAAGCAACTGGTTTATTTTTTTCATCCCATCTACTAGATTACAGAAAACCTCAGTGGCCTCACCGTTGTTGTCAATGCGCTGGGTTTTGGCTCGAGCTTTATCGATGGAAACTCCATGTATCTCCACCCAAACCTGCGGGTCCACAATGGAGTTGGGCTTGTCTGTGTTTATTTTAGGAAGCTGCTGAGCTGAGATCACCTACAAAATGTCAGAGAAGTACAACAAAAGAAGAGATTTATCAAAGTGTTTACAGAGCACTTGGAAAGCGGAGTCGTTTTTCCTGTCAGATCATCATATGTGAAGAGAAGAGTTTTTGACTGACCCGTATGGTGAGCTGTGTGGGTATGTGTCCTGGTCCTCCACCAGTGTTCTCCGGATCAAAATCAGACTTTGGGTCACACAGAAATTCAGGTTTGAGCACATATCCACAGCGGCCGTTGGGCAGAAAGCGGCCCTGGTTCAGATCCATCTGCTCTCCTGGTGTCTGAAAGTTCAGAGCCACTGGAGAGCAGAGAAAAAGAGAAGTTGAAGCATTTACTACTGTGTTTGGAGAGCTGCAGGAATGTCAGAGAGCTCAGTCGCTCACCCATCTGGCATCCTGCATTCCACATGTCCTGGGGGTCGAAGTTGGAGGACTGAAGCCTCTGGGCTGATGGGTAAATCCTGCTCAGCTGCCGACTGTTGTTTCGAACAAACAGCTTCCCTATAGGGGATTAAATTACTGTAAATCAAAATGAGCAGACGCAGATGCTTACACAAGGTGAAAATACATATTGATATAATAGATGCAAAATAACTTATATTATTGTTTTATATTATAATTATCAAATATTATTAGTATATATGCTATATGTTGTTGCTATTACAATCTTTTCAACTTTTAATTTGTGGGAGAATCCTAAAAAAATTTTTTATTGTAGCTTCCACAAATGTATTAAATAAAAAAATTATAAAATAATGATAACAACATTCACATGTAATATGTTATCAGGAACTCAATTAAAATTGTTCAACATGATCAGTCTATCTATCTATCTATCTATCTATCTATCTATCTATCTATCTATCTATCTATCTATCTATCTATCTATCTATCTATCTATCTGTCTGTCTGTCTGTCTGTCTGTCTGTCTGTCTGTCTGTCTGTCTGTCTGTCTGTCTGTCTGTCTGTCCGTCCGTCCGTCCGTCCGTCCGTCCGTCCGTCCATCATAAGATTTGTTCATGTCACCTGAGTCTTTGATGAGTTTAAGCGCTTCATTCTCAGAGAAAGATGTTATCACACTAGGAGGCCTCTGATTGGCTGTCTCGAATCCACTGAAGGGCACACTCTGACAATACACCACCAGATCCGACAGCTCTGGACTCAGTTTAGTGCTCGCAGACTATGAAGAGAAATACATGTTAGTGTCTACACAAGCACATTTTTCAGAGGCCTTTTACGCATCATAATCACACGTCATATGTTATTACACAACATTCTGAAAAACCTAGAATGGACAATCACAACATTCTAAGGTATTTTATTCCCAGATACAACGTAATAACAACATACTTTGCTGTTCTTGACTGTTTGGTGCCACCTTGTGATGGAATAATATAAATAAGGTTAGTGTAGGCTGCATTCAGCCATTTGATTTCTTATCTGTCTGTAAGCTTTACATTTAATAAAAAAAATCTACTGAACTATTACAGCTCAGTTCAATGTATTATGTCTAATATTTAAATTTCGTGGCAGATAGCTGTGTAATAAGCGTGATAGTGTACATCCACACTTTTGTTTTAGCAGAATAAAGCCCTTTGATCTTATACAACAGCTGATAATCCTACCAGGCTTTATTCTGTGAGAACAACTGACCACATGTACATTATCAATTACAAATGCAACTAATGTATTTACCTGAGCTAAACAGATACACGTGAGCCAAATATTAAAACCAACTTTTTCTTCTTCAAACAACACTGTTGTATAATGCTTTGGAAAACTGTTAAACTGTGATTTGATAAGCTTGTCCAAATAGCAAGTCATATCTGAATTTACCCTCGCAAGATCCTTTTTGGATTCCTTCTTGTTTCCTCCGGCCACCGACTCCTCATCCGAGCTGTTTGTAAAGCTGGTCCAGCTCTCTGTCTTCCCCAGCAGACCGTTGAGTTTCTTTCCCTTCAGCAGAATCCGACCCTTTAACTCCTACAGAAAAATGAGCACCTATGAGTGAAAACGGGCTGAGTGTAAAGAGTATGTGAGTTGGTATATGAGAACTGGTATGTATTGACTTCGTTCCTAGCACTACATTACTATCCAATTGAGCAATTTCTGTTGGCAGCAATGGTCAAATGCTTTGGCCAATAATTCTCATAAAGCAAACAGGATGTTTCCAGGAAGGAGAAGGAAGGGTTAGCAATTAAGATTTGGAGTTTGATATCCATAGAATGTAAGGAAGTCACTTTGTAAAATGCTTGAGGTCAGTACGATTAGACTTTTTACTGTAGTATATATCAAGGATACGTTAAATTAATCAAAGTGACATTATATTTCTAATTCTTACATTTATTTTTATTTTAAACATTTTATTTATACATGAAATTTTAATAAATATATGATATTCAATGACATCTAATTCTTTTAATCAAAATTATGTACGTTTTCTTTGTTTTGATGGATATTAAGTCAATTCTGACCTACAGTAACTTCTGATTGGCTATTTCAGCAGCTGTGTGGTTTTTGTTAATTTGTGGCGCCAAATCCCCTGTAATTTGCACCCTGCGAGTGCATTAGTGCCATTTTTTTAAGCTTCACAAGTTTTTCTACCATTCATTTTGATCATTGGGTTATTTAGATGTTCTCGGTTACTCTGGATTCATGATTTTTAGTTATGTGCTTGAGTAGGATGCCATTTTTGTTTTGTTTTGCAAGCTACTGATGACATTTCTTCTAAATGAAAAATGTTGTCTATTGGAAAAGAAAATTTGTCAAGATAAAACAAATCAGATTCATTTGTTGTTATTAAATCTGCATTCTTTTATTTACATTGAATTTCCCAACTTCATCAGTAGCAAGGATGCTAAGACTGTCATCCATGCATTTGTCTCCTCACGCATCGACTACTGTAATGCCCTTTTCAGTGGTCTGCCTGCCAGCCTCATCTCCAGATTACAATATATTCAAAACTCTGCGGCTAGAATATTTACTCATCCCAAACTTTCTGCTCATATAACCCCAATCTTGTATGACCTCCATTGGCTCCCAGTTGCATATCGTATTGAATTCAAAATTCTCCTTCTTGCATTTAGATCCCCCTTATCTAGCTCCCTCTTATCTTTGCAACATGCTTGTCCCCTACACCCCTACTCGCTCATTACATTCCACTGACTCTGGCCTTCTCGCTGTCCCTCGGTACTGCCTCTCTTCAATGGGGGGGCAGATCATTTAGTGTTATTGCACCCAAACTCTGGAACTCTCTACCACACTCACTCCACTCTGCTACTAACATCTCAGAATTTAAATCTTTACTTAAAACTCACTTGTTTTCTGAATGCTTCACTACTGATCTGACAAACTGACCACTATATTTGATCCACCTGCAATATGATAATTTGTCTCTTAGATCTTGTTTTTGTATTTCCAGTGGTTATATTTGACTTCCTGTATGTTTGTGTTTCCACATTTATCTCTTTTTGTCGCATTCTTTGTAAAGTGTCCTTGAGCTCTGGAAAGGTGCTAAATAAATACAAATTATTATTATTATTATTATTATTATTAAAAGATGCCATTGTTTCAGACATTTTTTTTTTTGGACATGCAATAATGTTTTAATTTCAGAATAGTACAAATTTGGTTGAATTGGGTGGAATTATCCAGATTTTCAATCACAACAAATGAAAAAAATAAAAGTTTTATGACCTATTTCTTTCCCAGAGATGGGTTGCAGCTGGAAGGACATCCACTGTGTAAAATATATGCTGGATAAGTTGGCGGTTCGTTTCGCTGTGGTGACCCCGGATTAATACAAAAAGAAAATAAATGAATGAATGAATAACCAATTTCCATTTTGTGCAAAAAAAAATGCTCAAAAGCAAATATGCTCTCAAATGCATACCTAACAAATTCAGTAATTCTAAAGAAACTATGACTCTTTAAGTGGCCTCTTAATTGGTAAAATGCTCTATACTGCACTATGGGAAAGTTTTTTAATACACAAAGTGTGCTAATAAGCACAGTGGTTCTTAAAAAGTATTTAGCCCAATAAAAATAAATTCCTTTTTTTTTTAAATCCAGTCGTGCCCATGTTTGGACGTTTCACGTTTATTAGGTCAGGTAAGGTTGAAGCAGTAAGTGCATGTGACCTCAGGTGAGGGCAGCTGTTTGAGTGGCAGGTCGCTGAGTGGTTTCGCCAGCAGCTTTTTCCCCAGAATGGACTGAAGCTGTTGCGCCATGATGGCCTGCTGCTCCACTGAACAGTGATTCTCCAGAGACAAGATCAGAGGATACGGAGACGCCTGTGGAGAGGCAAGATTCATTAAGAGGACTGAGTTACAAAAACATTCTATGCAGTCTTATACTGTAGTGTTACAGAGATTTTCATTATAGTTTAAGCGTCTTCACCTTGAAGGCATACTGAGCAATGGTCTCGATGACTTCTTTGAAGAGCACTTTTGAGGTGAGTGTGTGTCCATGGTAGATTATAGGCTCTCCTTTATCCCCGTCCCAGCAGTCTAGCTCAACACAGCGGCAGCCCTGATTCAGAGCTCTGAACATACATACAACGCACAACTTTATGGATATAAACAATTCACATCATTACGGTATGTGAATTTGGGTCGTGTCTCGAATAAAAACCCTAGTGAGCAAAAAAAAGTGATGTTCGCTTGAGATGGTTTTGGGTTAATGCAAATAATGAGAGATGGAAAGTTATTTGCTGAATAAACTCGGATGTAGCAAACATTGCACCTATGTGAATAATCAGCTGTCTCCATTATGCTTGCCTTGTTTATTGTTGGTTACTGGGTTACCAAAACTACAATCAGCTGCTCTAACAACATGAAGAAAACACATCTAAATTGCATTTGAGATTTTTATTTTATGTGAACTTCAAAACAATTTGCTTCACATTAGGATGGAAACCCAGCTATTGGTTCTGTATATTCAGCTCCCTCTGGTTGTGAAATATGTCAACATGAGGAATCTATAACCGAGGCAGGTTTCTGTGGAAATTTTGGTTTATTGTGTGTTCACTTAGAAAATATTTTTGCTTTTATTTATTAAACAATATTCTGCAGTTGATAAAAATGTTTTTCCACCCAAACTTTTAGTTTATTTATTTTTACCAGATGTAGATGTTTGCATGACAAATTTATCACAGGCTTATTCTGAAAACGTAGTCCTATATCTGTTTCTGGAGAGCACGGATTATGTAGCCGGAGGTACGTATGGCTGCATTCCGTTTATTAAACGAACGCTACGGGGCGGAATGATGCCGTTCCTCCGTGTACCTTCATACCTCCGTGTGGACGGCTTTTGCACTGTAAACAGTTTGTCTTGTTAGCTCATTGTGTACGTCGGCACACTTGAGACGCAGAGAGGAGTTGACCAAGATGACTGGGTTTGATTCCAACAAATAACAGTTCCGGAAAGCAGAAAAATCAGACGAGGGCTTTTATTTTCCTGGATTCTTTTGAAAATTGTTGGTTGGGTTTAAAGACGTAAGTGGGTGGGCGTGTCAATCGATTAAACTGGTTGGGTTTGGGGAAGGAGGAGGGTGGGTCGGTCGATTGCTCGGTCAGTCAGTCAGTCAGTCAGTCAAACAGTCAGTCGACAGTGGCCTCTGGTCGGTTTACGCAAGAACAGCAGGCCAGAATGGCATTCGCAAGAGAGATTTGAGATCTGAAAAGGCGTACACAGCGGCCTCTCATTGATTCGCAAAAACAAAAACTGCAAAAATATAGTATGTACCTCCTGGGACGTATTTTGCGGCCTCCATAAACCTCTGTAGAGGTACGTTTTCAGAATGAGCCTAGGTTGGACTAATTCCTGCAAAAATTCCAGCAAATTCCTTTGAATTGTGAAACTAGTCGACTGTCCGCTTTGTGCTCTTGTTGTTTGGACGGTGCAGTAACCTCAAATGCTTAGCACAAGACATTGGAATGTAAGGGATTCATAGTAAAGCTTTCTGTGTCTGGTGTGGAAGCCACTTCAGACCTCGCAATGCCTATAGCTGGAGGAAGAGTAACACTAGCGTGCTGAACATAATTGGACAGTTTTTGTTTAGCTCAATAAAAACCTAAAGAGTCCTAAAAATTGATGCATGCTTGCTAAAAAGATTAATAAGATTTATATATCTTATACTATATTTTAAAAAGGAACTGCCCCAGTGACAGCTTTTATTTCTGAGACTGTAGTTGTGGTGTACAATGTCTCATATTTATAAGAGTTTTAGTACTTTACTCTTATCTTTATTTTTGACCTCTTCGGCATGAACCAGTTTTAGGTGTGTTTTCTTCGACATGCTGTATTTCTGTGGTGCTGAAAGTAGATTATTAACTGTTTGTCTGTGTTTAAAAAAGAAAATAGAAAATACAGCATTAGAAAATACAGGTGCACAGTATAAAATAATGAAACCTATGAAATGTCCCCACAATTCACAAATACTAATGTGTATGTTTGTGTGTGTGCATGTGTATGTTGTACCTGATATAAGGCTCAGTGCTGCTGGCGCTGGTCACCTGGTCTTTGGTGAGGTATGTATTATGGGATGAAGAGATGTAATAATGTGCCAGAGGTTTGCTCATGTCCTGATACACATGAGTGTGATCTGGGTTGAACACGTCATTCTCTTTTGAGAGCATGTACATGGTGAAACCATTCTGGGTCATGAAGAGATTCTTCTGGGCTGAGAGAAAAAAAAAATCGTTAAACAAACATCCACAGAGTTAACTGAGGAAGTGTTTTAACACATACTATATTCAGCATAACAGCCTCAATTCCGGTAAGAGCTGACAGGAATAATTGAGGTTTGTTATTTATAAAGCACAGTGACAGTTTTAAACTATTTGCTTCCTCCAGTTCGTGGAAGTGGACGGGTGTGGTTTTTCAGTGTAGTGTTGAACCTGTGCGCCCAATTTCAACAGGTTGGATATTTTACAGTGCATTATTAAAACACAATGACAAGCTAAAACCAGTTTTACCTGGCTATTGTCATTTTTACTGACAATTTAAACAGTAGAGTGCCGACAGGATATGACGAGGAGAAATAGGACCTCTCTTTGATCTGAAGCTGCCTGCAGGAGTGCTTTGTGTGTCTAGACAACAATTCTGAAAAATGGCTTAATATATAACATGGTACCCATAACAAATGCTTGTTGCTTTTCAAGTCCTTCATATATGACATCTGTTCTTACCCTGTTAGTATACAGGCAACAAAGGACTATTTATTTTTCATTTATTCATTCATTCATTCATTCTTTTTTTTCAGCTTAGTCCCTTTGGTAATCTGGGGTAGCCACAGCAGAATGAACCCCCAACTTATCCAGCATATGTTTTACGCAGCAGATACCCTTCCAGCTGCAACCCGTCACTGGGAAACACACACTCATACACTATGGTCAATTTTAGCACACCTAACATGTACCACATGTCTTTGGACTTGTGGGGGAAACATGCAAACTCCACACAGAAGTGACCTTCTTGCTGTGAGGCAAACATGCTACCCACTGCGCTACCGTGTCTCCCTTTAAATATTTATTATTAAAAGGTAAAATATATTTGTAGCACTATTATATATATAGTTTTGGGAAGTGGTGGACTGGGACAGTATGTTCGCCTGGGAAAGATATTAAACCCATGCCAACTAAGCTGTGACTATAGGTAAGTGGAAGGGGGGAGGAGGAGGGGGTTCTGGTCGGGCAATTGGTAAGGGAAGAGAGTGGAGGGAAAGGAGGTGCGATGTTCACGACTGACCGTCAGTCGCTCCCTATGGCCAGTGCGCCCCTGGCTTTGGGGGGAAAATAGATCTCTAATTCTCAGTTTCTCTAAATTTACTGCATTTATTAAACATAGGTTTGAGTAAAAATTAGTTTTTTCAGATATTTACAATTGATCATATTATGGTCAAGTGTTGTCATTTGGTGCCGAAATATAATTGGGTAAACTGACAATGGGTGGAGTTACTCAGACCAAAACAAAGACAAACATTCTGACATCAAACATTCACTATCAAAGGCAAATAACTGACTTCAGCATTGTTTTCAGATAAACAAGCTGCTATGTTTACTTAGCAACGTTCTTAAATATCTGAAAATATATTATGGCATTTTCATGCTTTGCAAGTGGCAAAAACATACAGCACCTTTAGCTCATCTGAAACAAAACCCTGACCTAAACCTGATTGAAAATATGCGGAAAATCTTTTGTGACATAAAAAGAAAAAAACTACAGTCAGAAGAGATTAGTGATGTCTATAGCTGAATTTATACTTTCGCCTGGTGCCACACTGCTCACCTCCGCTGTGTGAGCGCACACCTCGTGAAACGGACGAGGCTTTTATACTTGTCGCGTTTGCCGTTGTGAAATTCTTTAAAATGATAGAGGGCGGCCAAAAGAAACTCATTGTAAAATCAGACGGATAAAAAAAGAAGTAGGAAATTTTTGGAACTAAATCATATCATTAATTTCATTCAATATTTTTAAACAAATAATTTTTTCTGTTATTATAAATTATTATAATGATTATAAGGATTTTTATAACCATATTCAATATAATTTTTTTTTTAAATCTTAGATGCATCACTTGCTTTTGTTCATATCTCGGACAGTTTTACCTATTAAAGTTTATTAAAATGTAAATGACAACAGAACATGGGTTGATCTACAAATATATTTTATTATGGCAAGAATAAAATCGAAAGAAAATAAAAATGAATGATGTTTTATAGATTTAGCCCACTCCACAGTTCACAAATTGCTGTGTGGCTAGTTTTTGTCCTATACTTATGCTAAAAAGGCAATAATGGTCCAACATTCCTGTCTATTATCAACAATAAAGCCTAGAAAAACAGAGCATCAGTATATTGTAAACTGATACGTTCAAATATTCCTTCCCAGTTATCAAAGAAATTATTTGCTCCTTAAATATAGTTTTGTAACTATTAAACTGTTTTAAATTCAAAATTGTAAACTATACATCAGTATTAAACCTATGACTGATGGAAAAACATATTTTTGTAATTGTGTACCTGGGTCTTTTACTTTTGCCATGTTCTTTTTTTCTTTAACAAACTTATTCCTTAGGTTTTTCCAAACCTTTTAACAAAAACTTTCCTTCTTTCCCACGGCTGTTGTTTCTAGCCAAGAATTATTGATCATCTGGTTATCTCTATGATTATAAAGATGTCTGTACAGTCGTACTGTTTCAGAATATGAATTGAATCAGTTGAATATGAATCTTTAAAGTTATTCATATTCAACTCAAATCAAAGGTGGCACCATGCGCACTGTTCGCTCAAGTCTCAAAAAAATTCATGCGCTCCGCCAGCCGTAATCACGTCGCACGCACCCAAAGCAAACCTCCACAAACTCAGTGATGGCATCACATTCGCCGCTCGCATTTAAGCGAACTAGCAGACGTGTCAAGTATAAACCAGGCTAGTGGCAGCACATGTGATCACATGATTCAAAGCAAGAGCTACTTAACAACTACTGCAGTAGCCTTCAGAAATTGCGGTTATCTAATTTTGTTCACTTTGTTTACCATAAAAATAAACATTTTGGCAAAGTCGCTTGGTTTTCTGGATATTTTTGCTGTTCTATTAGCATGGTTTAAACACAAAGAAAATTTCTTTAAATTATTGAACAATAATCCTTACATTATTTCCTAAAAATCAAGTTCTTTTATTTTAATTTCCACTGTAGATACAGTGCTCAGCATAACCGTGTACAACCCATTATGAAAATGTATGTTTTTAGTATTTGCTTAGTAAATATAAGCAAGATTTATTAAACAGATATATTTATTAAAATAATATTTTAGTCACCAAGGATATTAAAAAATTGAAATAAAATCCAATTAAACTCAAGCAAATTATTGCAAAACAAATTACAACCTACAAAATTTCAACAAAATTTTAAAATGTTTTTGTTTCTCTTGATTTTTCCTCTTTTTTAATTTGTATTTAATATTTTTCTATAACCTATAAATTTGGGTGTACTAGTTTTTGGACCGTTATCGTAAGTTATTTTGTTAGATAAGCTGCAGATTTGGTTTTAGTACTGATTCATCTAAAGTATATGAATTTAAAAGAGATATTTGTGAGAGGTGTACTTATACATGCTGAGCACTGTATAAAGGCAAGAGGTGCCTTCAAAAAAAAGTAATGTACAGTGTAGTTGTGTACCCCAGTCGTTGAGCTCAAAAGTTTGGATGAGGCTCTTTGCGTGGACCAGAGATGCATCTTCGCCCTGGTCGCCCAGAAAGTCCCGCAGCTCCAAAGTGGTGAGCACACATCCGTTTCCAGAATAATGCCTGAAGACAGCGTCCAGCTCTGGCCTGCGCATCATCTCACGGCAAAACTCCTCAATCTCCACATGATCCAGTCTGCCATCACACGAGCGATCACATTTCTGCACAGTGAGACACAACAGAGAGATAACGCTTGAGGTTTCATTTAAAATAAACATGTTGTTTATGGCATCGGCTGCTGTCACACAAACCTTGAAGAGCGTTCGTGCGTACTGCTCATTTAGGTCAATGTTAATCAGCTGGAGCAGATGTTTCACCTCGTCGTAGCTCATCTTTCCATCCTGATTTTGATCCGCACGCCTCAGGTAACCTCGAATCCAGGTATAAAGAGTTATGGAAAACTAGACAAAACAGATACCATGCAGACACAACATGACGGTTGCCATAACAATGAAGAGTCTCTTACTGATATGATGAACGATGTAAAGAGTTTGGTCCTAAAATTACGCTCTGCCAGTATCATGTCAAAATAAACTAATGAATTAATACATTATAGAAATAAAAATAGCACATTAATACATTTTAATACAATAAAACAACAAGAAATTAAAAAAAATATTAATATAAAAAAATCATATTATAATAACTATTATAAATATTATTAGTAGTAGTAGCAGTAGTGGACACATTATTGTTCACCGTAGATTTACCCGTGTCCTCAGTAGTCTGTTTTCCATATCAAACTGAGGAGGGGGAGACTGCAGCCTTGATCAAACTTGCGAAGTCTGAACTTACGAGAAGAGGATGTAGGACTGAATGAACTGTAACGTTAGGCTACTTAATATTGAGGAAAAGCCCCAATCAGACAGGCGGATGTCGGCAGCCCCACCTCTGTTTTCAGATGTCTCAGTTTTCCCCCATCCACACTGTGACAGAGCAGCAATGTTTTAGAATGAAAACGGCCTCTCCAACGTTTTCAAAACGCTCCGTTTTTGGCACTCTAAAACTCCAGCGTAGTGTGGAGGGACGGCGTAACCCTAGCGAAACTTATGCGTTTTAAAACGAAAACGCATTAGTGTAAACAGGGCCTTAGTCCCTTTAATAATCCACAGCAGGTCAGTTGGCATTTCTGTGTGGAGTTTGAATGTTCTCTCCGTGTTCGCGTGGGTTTCCGCCGGGTGTTCCGGTTTCCTCCACACTCCAAACACATGCACTTTCAAAAGTTCACACTTACCTGATGATTGGTTATAAAGCTTGTTTGGCATGCTGTCCCGGGAGAGAGCCCTGAGCTCATAAACTCATAGAGCCCAGGGCTCCCTCCTGTTTGCAAGGTTAAAAGGGAATTTGAGCTCAGGTAGAACTCGAGAACTCCCCTGATGTAGTAGCTAATGAACAGATAGTGATTGTTCTTAAGAGATAACTATTTACTAGGAGCATGTCTATGGTGCCGATTTGGATTAGTCAGTTAACTCAAGTTACATGTCTTTGAATGCTGGGACGAAACCGGGGAACCCAGGGGAAACCCATGTGAGCACAGGGAGAACATGTAAACTCTGCACAGAACCGTCGGCTGGCTTGGTAAGGACTAGAACCAGTGACGTTCTTGCTGTGAGGCTACAGTGCTGACCACTGGGCCACAGTGCCACCCATCTAGGAAAGGAGGAGGAGTGCGTGGAAGGGGAGATTCTTTAAAACTAAGATGGCTGTCATATGGAATTTAGGGTATTTATAGAGGCTTAGGAATAATTTGATTGGTGAATCATAAATTGAAAAATGTGGGGCCCGCTGCAAGCAATCATAAGCACATAATCCTCTCAAAATTAGTTTATAAATAAACTTCACATTGGTGAATTGGGTAAGCTAAATTGTCCATAGTGTATAAGTGTTTGTCTTGGTCTTCCAGGCTGGGGGTTGAAATTAGAATATTAGAAAACTTCGATATAAACAGCCCTGGGAGTGAGTAAGGTATTGGTTTTTGTCTTTACTTAATTGTTTTAGTTCAGCTTGATCATTTTAAGACAATCGGTTTCCTAATATTTTCCTGTTAATGTGAAAACTAAAAAGAAGCTAACACCACTAATTATTTTGAGTTTATTTTGATTTTAGCAAGTTTAAGTTATTTTGGAAAGTCATTAGACAAAAGTGTTCGTTAATAAAAAAAATAATAATTCTTAAGGGGGCTAATTATAGTGGACTGAAAAAATTAAAAACTGCTTTAATTCCAGCCAAACTGAAAGAAAAATGTACTTGCCCTTCTAAGGCAGCAATTGGGAAATATTGGTCTAACAATTTTGCCTGCAGCTGTATGCAAGTTTTCTTAGTTTCATAAAAACGTATTAATAGAATTAAAACTAATGATGGATATTAAAACTACTAAACTACAATTATTATCCTGGGATAAAAGAAACTAATGCAAAGCTATTTAATCTGCCATGTTTACAAGTTTTTGACAAAAAATTAAATGCAATTGTATAGCAAAAAAATTCAAATGAGAAAAAAAAAGAGAACAAATGGCTTACATGGATCAGAAGAAAACAAAGACAAGGAGGAACAGCATATGGTTAATGTGTTTGTGAAGTTGCGTGTGGGAAACTGTTCTAGATCTGCTCTATATTTAGTCTCACTGAGTAATGTAGAGCATGTTTTCATGTGCATTTACTGACTAACGCGGGCCAGGGTAACCAAACCTAAGCCTTTGCTCTAATTACTATAATTAAACGTACACAGCACTCATGCATTGCGAATGTATGTCTGCTTGCAGTTGGGAAAAACTCTTATTGTATTGTTATTATTTAATAAGGATATTGGTCGAGCTTCTCTTTCTGGCTCATGTTGGAGACGCGGTCTTTTAGTGTGCGGATGCCTCGGACCCAGCGCTCCGCTTCCTCTTGTGTGTGGCAGCACAGATCCAGGCTTTTCCTTCCTCCACGGAAAACCACGGTGAAGCAGTTTTTCTCTGGAACCAGATCTGTCATCCGCCGCAGACACTCTGACTGACAGCCCTCACGCACACATTCCACCTCCGTCACTGAGACTGAGACAAAACACAGACAGGCACAGAGTTTAGTCCAGCAGGCTACTATTGCTCTTAATTTACACACAGTTGTCTGCACCAAACAAAAGTGCAAAACACCGTAAAAACTAAATGTTTTTGAGGCCTCTAGACCACACAAAGGCTAACAACCCATTCAGCCAACCAACACTATACAAAAAAAGTGCATTTATGCACATCTTTGTGTGTGTACATTTTTAAAACAAATAAAAAAAATATACAACCATTTCAAGAGGCTAAAAAATAGCAATAATAATAATAATAATAATAATAAATAGATTGGTTAATTCATTAAACAGAAGTAACCAAATTAAACAATTTAAACAAAACACTGTAGTTTTTAAAACTAAAAGCAATTTTTAGCTAAATGAAATTAGTTGAATATATATTTTTTATCAAAATAATCAAGCTAAAATAATTTCTTAGCTATGGTGTTAAATAGACTTTAGAATAAAATAAAATACAATTTATTGTCACTGTACACATATATAATGTACATTATATACATGTGTGATGAGATTAAGTGCATCTCACTACTATTTACATATATTTAAATATGCAATTTATATAATCAAATAAATAATCTTGATTAACACTTATTAAAAGCATAACTATATGATAAAACAAACAAACAAATAAATAAATAAATAAATAAACTAACACGGATCAATGCTTTACATATACCAAATGGCTAACTAAAACAACACAGCTCCACTGTATTAGCTTTCAGAAATAATTTAGAAATAATAAGCAGTCTGGAAAACAATAAACAAGTAAACAGATTATGTATTAAATAAATAAATAAAAAGGAATAAATAAACAAATGAATGAATGAATAAATAAATAAATGAATAAATGAATAAATAAACAAATAAATAAATAAATAAATAAATAAATAAATAAATAAATAAATAAATAAATAAATAAATGTGTCATTGCACTTTGTTATGCTGGGCATGTGTGTGAACCTTGTAAAGCATGACCTGTGCATCAACAGAGTGCCAAAAAATGTCCGCCATATGTCCTTATTACCGCTAAAACACATGCAGACAGCTAATACAATCTAATACAACAACAATCAGACATTGCTGCTATTACAATAATATCATTTGTGCACAGAACATGGACTCATAATCCTCAGTGCATTCGACAGTATAGCAACAGAATCGCCTTTTAACTGAAAAATTCCTGCACTGTAAATAAACAAAGAGGAGCAAGGACAGTCACACACACATTCTAAAAGGCCAGTGACTCTCTGCCCACTACCAGCGCCTGCCTAACAAACATGCATTCTTGATTCTTGTGTGTATAAAGAAGAAGGGTGTTCATTTTAACAGTGTGTGTCTGCAGTGAATGGGCGTTTACTACGACACTGGCATTCCACACTAACGCCTGCTGTGAGTGTGAGATCTGAGGCATTATGAACTCTCCAGGGCATCGTGCCACCTAGACAGACTCATTTCCTACACAGAATAGCATCATTTAATGCAGACTATTTGGAAGTTACAAGTACATTTTTATTTTTGGGGGTGAATTGTCTCTTCAAGACAAGACACTGCACGTGGGGAAAAAAAAAAAAAACTTCAAGTTTAACAAATAGTTCACCACACTTCTCCAGATGACTGATTGCATTAAAAACTGCAAAGAAATTGAAAAACAAATAGAAAAAAAAGATTTATTGTTATAAGTTATAATACTGTTTAATCGTGTTAATGATGCATTATTTAATCATTGAATTATATGTTAATTATTATTTAAATATACGCACTAATTTGCACATATTTCTAGCACAAAAATCTAAACACTGGTTAAAGTCAGGTTCAAAATTACACACACCACATACCAGAGTCAAAGGTTTGTACACAATCTATTTTTATCACTACTCAATTAAAAAAAAATTGCTAAAGCGAGACAAAGACACACTTAAATCAGTATTTTGAATGTTTTATTTACATTAGACTGACAAAAAATACTTTATGAAAAGCCAAAAAGCCCAAATTTTCTTGATTGCACCTGTACCTTTGTCTTAAGTGTCTCACCTAATAGGCAAAATAACAGAGTCATGAAGTGATGCATGATATAATGTTGCATATTGCAAACACATAGTCATGTACTAGCCGCAATGTTTGTTTTGTTCAAGTGTGCGGCAGTGTGCGAGTGGTGAGGGGCATGCTGGGAGAGTAGACGAGCAACTGAGCATGCATTCCTGATGGTAGCCTGACGTAGAACTACAGAAACAGAAAGAGAGTATGTCTCGTCTGCTACTGCCCTCTCAGTTGTGCAGTACAAGCAAATAGGCATTATTGCTGTGCAGTTTCTTTATATGTTTGGGGTCAAAGATAGAAAATATATACTAGGGGTGTCACAATTTCGATTTTTAATCGAAATCGATCGAAATTTATGCTCAATTTCGATTATCGAATCAAAAAATAGAATCGTCGATGCTGCCACGCCCCCATGTCACGTCAGCTTGGCTTGCCAAGCGGGAAAAAAACAAGCTTGTTGAAGTGTTTGTTAAACTGCAGACGCAGGAGACCCGTCGACAGAACTTAAACCCTCTCCTCTTTCAATGAAGTCGCCGGTGTGGAAGTATTTTGGATTTCCAGTGAGTTATGTTGACAACGTTCATGTTGTCGACAAAAAAAAACACAGTTATGCAAACTCTGCTATGTACGTATTACGTATGGTTCGTCCGATAGACAACACCAGCATCGCGATCCTCCGCCCGCCCCCGTTGCAAATCCGCTCGCGAAAAGTCCTCAGGCCCTGTTTACACTGTCTTTGTTTTTAAATGGTATTTTAGAATGACAACGATTTGACATACACAGTGGCGTGTAGCATTTCTGAGCAGCCCTCCTTCCTCTCTACCTCTGAAAATGCACCTCACGTGACCACACAGACGCACTCACAGCCATGCGCTCGAGACAGCAGGTCCAGGCAGTCAGAGGACTGCTTTAATCTTTCACTCACTTGTACTTAGTCATTTTAGCGCACACCTCAGATACTGTTGGCTGGTTCCTCTTGGTTGTGCGTCTTTTTTACCGACGCCATTATAACAACACAGATCACTGCCTATTCACGAGTCCCGCAGAAAATTGATTATCAGGTGGTAATTATGTGTGTATCTTGCCTTTATTCATTTACTGTATGATTTGTTTATGGGTAAAACAAAGACCATGCAGGTCAGGTAGTTTAAACGGTAGGCTACAAATAATTAATTGGTCATTAATTAATTAATTATTCATAATCGAAAATGTAATCAAATCGTGCCTTTAGAATCGAAAATGTAATCGAATCGAGAATTTGGAGGATCGTGACACCCTTAATATATACATACATATACATATATTTATATATATATATATATATATATAAATTTGTGGCTCAAAGGGCATCCGCTCTATAAAAACGTGCTGGATAAGTTGGCGGTTATTCCGCAGTGGTGACCCCGGATTATAAAAGCGACAAAGCCGAAAAGATAATGAATGAATAAATGAATGAATGAATGAATAAATGAATGAATGAATGAATGAATGTATATCACTTACAATTGAGTACATGTGAGTGACAACATTAACTGCTATATATTTCATTCAAGTGCTAGCACAAACTTCAAATGTGTATGCTTTAAATGATCTGTGTTGTTTAGAGTACACAAAACATGTTTTTCTTACACTGCAAAGGACAGTCAGGAAAAACAACAAAGGACCAATTTGTCCCAATTAAAATAAAAACACTAATTATTACATAATGAAATACAAAATCAACAATGTGTTATAAATATTTACTTGCATAACAAAACACAATAACACAGTTATGTGTGTGGTTACTAACGCATGTGACTATGTTTGTGTCATAGAGCAAACTATTAAATCACACTGAGTCACATGATTAGTTACAGGTTCACTTTAGTCCTTAGGGTTTCATCAGAAAGACCCATAATTCTCTCTGAAAGCATGGATTATTCATAAACATATGACCTGGGCTTTAACCTAGAGTAAGGCTGGACTATAAAATGATTTTTTCCAAGTGTGTTTAAAAATATATACTATTTCGGTCTTTCTATTTAAAATTGTTGTGTTTTATTTAATGTTTATTTGACATTTGTGTGTAATTACTTGTACAATTGATTGTCAGTTTCAAAAAATGAGAATGTCAAACTAAATCCTTAAGACTTTAATTCACCTAAAAGACATAACACTATAACAAGAGAATCTAGAGCCCTCATAAATAAATTAATTAATAAATAAGCATGGTTTAACTACAAAATAAACAAAAACAAAACATTCATTCATTCATTCATTTTCTTTTCGACTTAGTCCCTTTATTAATCAGGGGTCGCCAGAGTGGAACAAACTGCCAACTTATCCACCATATGTTTTACGCAGCGAGTGCCTTTCTAGCAGAAACCCAACACTGGAAAACACCCATACACACTCACATTCATACACATGCACTATGGCCAATTTAACTTATTCAATTCACTTATAGCACATGTCTTTGGACTGTGGGGGAAACCGGAGCACCTGGAGGAAACCTACGCGAACACGGTGAGAACATGCAAACTCTACATTTGACAAAGCATATATGTGGTCATGTACATTTATAAAACAGCATCAGCTTGTAGACTTGTCAACCAGAATTATTATCCAAAATGTCACAAAAAATATGTAATAAATATATTTGGTAAGAAAAATTGAAGTAGCCATCAAAAATCATGCATTCCGCATCATTCACACTGCCTTCGCCTATAGTGCGTTTGCATTGACTTACTCGAATTTGCTGCAAATTCTTCATTTTGCTATTGATGTGAAGCCAACATATTACAATACATACACTGTAGCGGTGTTGCGCAAATTTGTGAATAAAAGGAAAGATTCTCCATGCTTGGTTTAGTATGGAGTAGTAAACACTGTAGGGACCCTGTAAATCTGTAATTTAGAGTTCATGCATAAAGCTCTCATCTATTGAGCTGGTTAACT